TTTATCTACCTTTGGTCTTTAATGATGGTGACGTACAGATGGGGTTTTGGTGTGGATGTCCTTTCTGTTTGTTAGTTTTCCTTCTAACAGTCAGGACCCTCAGCTGCAGGTCTGTTGGAATTTGCTGGAGGTCCACTCCAGACCCTATTTGCCTGGGTATCAGCAGTGGAGGCTGCAGAAGAGTGAATATTGCTGAACAGCAAATGTTGCTGCCTGAAGCTTCGACTGGAAGCTTCGACTCAGAGGGGTACCCGGCCGTGTGAGGTGTCTGTCTACCCCTACGGGGGGAGGGGTGCCTCCCGGTTAGGCTATTCGGGGGTCAGGGACCCACTTGAGGAGGCAGTCTGTCCATTTCAGATCTCAAACTCCGTGTTGGGCGAACCACTACTCTCTTCAAAGCTGTCAGACAGGGACATTTAAATCTGCAGAGGTTTCTGCTACTTTTGTTTGGCTATGCCCTGTCCCCAGAGGTGGAGTCTACAGAGGCAGGTAGGCAGGCCTCCTTGAGCTGCAGTGGGCTCCACCCAGTTCCTAGAGTTTCTATACCAAAAAACACCAGAATAAGATCATGGCCAGTGTTGGGATCAAGTATATAAGTTAACAGAAAAAGAATATTTGAGAAGGTAGAGGAAATTATGAAATAATTCAGAGAGAAATAAACAGAAAAAAAGAGAGATAAAAGAAAGTGGTGGAAATTGTTTAAAGTGTACTATTGTAAAATGTACAAAACATTTCTAACAATCACATTTAATAAATTCATAGAGCTTAAGCTTTAGATTGTATAGAAATCACCCACTCCCTTGAGACTGTGATCAAGTAGGTCTAGGATGGAGCCTATGAATCTTCATTTTATATAAGCAATCCCACTATAGTTATTTTTGTTGAAATAGCTAGCCTTTACAATAAAAGAAAATATATGTTGATATATTTATTTGGGATTATTACCTTTTTGCATGATCTTTAGCAACACAATCTCGTCAAAGCACTCTGTTTTACTCTTAGGATCGTGAGCATCTTAACATCTTTAGCATCTTGAAATAATGTAATAGTTTGATAACCATCCCAGAAGTGCTGATTTACCAAAGCTTATCTAACATGATCTGATGCTTGAAACCATAAGACTTTCTGCTCGCCAAAAACATGGTCTCTTTCTTGCCCAACCTCTAATCCTTTTTTCATAAAACTGTGTAACACATGGGCCAGCCAAGAGTGTCTAAAGCTCCTGTTAAAATGGGGATATGGCCCCACTCTAAATTTCTAGAGGAGAGATCAGCTGATGTCTTGAAATAAATATTACTAGAGTTTGCCTCTGTTCTATGAAGGCTGAGTTTCAAAAATACAACCAAAGAAACAAAGTACAGCAATAAACAAAAGGGATATAAAAACCAGCTAAAGAGTCATTTAAAATATTGGAAATAAGTAGGAGGAAATAAATGTCAATGTTTTAATGTAGTGCTCTATTGTTGGATCTGAAATAGTTCATAACCCAGTGGTTTCTTTGACATTAGTGATTGCTGTCACAGAAGCAGAGACTTCATGTTGTTTACTGTTGTATCCCCAGTACTGAAATAGAGCCTGGCATGTAGTATGCACCCAACAAATATATTTTTTAGAATGTAATTATTTTATTAATATTTAAAAGCATTGTTATGTTTTGAACATATTTTTGAAATAACCTTTTACTTTAGTGAATAGTACTGGACAAGGCCAGATTTGATGTTTTTCTACAACCTTAAGTTAGTATTGGCAGCAGTTCAATAAATTCAAATCTTTTGACTCCAATCACAAGGCTTTCTCTTAAGTACTTCACTGATTTTTGAAAAATATTCTTCACTTGAACTGTTATTAAAATTGATTTTAAATAAAATTTGTATGTGGCTAGATATTCCTTGTTGATTTCACTTTCACTGACATTTTTACTGTCATTTTACAGTGCTTACAAAATATTACCTGTTGGGTTTCCCTTTTTTCCCCAACTTTCATTTTAGAATCAGGGGGTACATGTACAGGCTTGTTACATAGGTATATTGTATGATACTGAGGTTTAGAGTATGAATGAATCTGTCCCCCAGGTGGTGATCATAATATCCAATAGGTAGGGTTTTTTTTCAATCCTTACCCCATTTCCACCCTCCCCCATTATTACCATTTTTATGACCATGAGTACCCAAGGTTTACCTTCCACTTATAAGTGAGAACATATGGTATTTGGTTTTCTGTTTCTGTATTAGTTTGCTTAGGATAATGCTTTCCAGCTGCATCTGTGTTGCTGCAAAGGATGTGATTTTATTTTTACATGGCTGCATAGTATTCCATTGTGTATATGTACCATATTTTCTTTATCAAGTCCACTATTGATGAGCATCTAGGTTGATTCCATGTCTTTGCTGTTGTGAATAGTGCTGCGATGAACATACAACTACATGTGTCTTTTTGGTAGAATGACTTATTTTCCTTTGGGTATATACCCAGTAGTGGGATTGCTGGGTCGGATGGTAATTCAACTCTCAGTTCTCTGAGAAATCTCTAAACTGCTCCCCACAGTGGCTGAACTAACTTACAGTCTCACTAGCAGTAGCAGCAGCGTGTAAATGTTCCCTTTTCTCCCTAGCCTCACCACCATCTGTTATATTTTGTCTTTTTAAGAAAAGCCATTCTGGGCCTGGCGCGGTGGCTCATGTCTGTAATCCTAGCACTTTGGGAGGCTGAGGCGGGCAGATCATGAGGTCAGGAAATTGAGACCATCCTGGCTAACACGGTGAAACCCCGTCTCTACTAAAAATACAAAAAATTAGCCAGGCGTGGCAGCACGCACCTTTAGTCCCAGCAACTCAGGAGGCTGAGGCAGGAGAATGGTGTGAACCTGGGAGGCGGAGCTTGCAGTGAGCCCACATTGCGCCACTGCACTCCAGTCTTGGTGACAGAGTGAGACTCTGTCTCAAAAAAAAAAAAAAAAAAAAAAAAAGACAAGAAAAGCCATTCTGACTAGTGTGAGATGGTATCTTATTGCTGTTTTGATTAGCAGTTCTCTAATGATTAGTGATGATGAGCATTTTTTTCGTGTCTGTTGGCCATTTGTAGGTCTTCTTTTGAGAAGTGTCTGTTCATGTCCTTTGCCTACTTTTAAGTGGAGTAATAATTTTTTGCTCTTTAAGTTCTTTAATAGAGTCTAGATATTGAACCTTTGTCAGATGTAAAGTTTGTGAATATTTTCTTCCATTCTGTAGGTTATGTGTTTACTCTCTTGATAGTTTCTCTTGCTGTGCTTCTGTGTGTTCTTTAGTTTAATTAGGTCCCATTTGTCAATTTTTGTTTTTGTTGCAATTGCTTTTAAGAACTTAGCCATAAATTCCTTGCCAATGCCAATATCAGAAAGGGTATTCCGTAAGTTTTCTTGTAAGATTTTTATAGTTTGAGGTCTTACATTTAAGTCTTTCATCCATCTTTTGAGTTAACTTTTGTATATGGTGATAGGTAGGGGATCCTGTTTCATTCTTCTGCATATGGATAGCCAGTTATCCCAGCATCATTTTTTGAATAGGGAGTTTTTTCCCCACTGCTTATTTTTGTCAACTTTGTTGAAGATCAAATGGCTGCAGGTATGTGGCTTTATTTCTGGATTCTCTATTCTGTTCCATTGGTCTATCTGTCTGTTTTTGTACCAGTACCATGCAGTTTTACTTACTGTAGCCTTGTAGTCAGGTAATACAATGTCTCCAGCTCTGATTTTTGTTTTTGATTTTTTGTTTTATTTTGCTTAGGATTGCTTTGGCTCTTTTTTGGTTCCATGTGAATTTTAGAATTTTTTTCTAGACCATCAAATATTTGATGAATTTAACAATGAAAGTAATTTTTCCTTTTTTTCCTCTTTCACACTAGTGAGGAAGTAACAAAAACAGGAAAAATTGACTGAATAGAATAAATATGTTTATCATATTTAGATTATTTTTCCTTTCTCAATTTACACTTATATAAAGTAAAAATAAACTAATTAGAACTAATAGAGTGACTTGTACCTGTAACCTCAGCACTTTGGGAGGCCAAGGCAGGAGGATCACTTGAGCCCAGGAGTTCAAGACCAGCCTGGGCAGCACAGGGAGACCCTATCTGTAAAAAAAAAAAAAAAAGAAATTGTAAAAAATTAGCCAGGCATGGTGGTACATGCCTGTAGTCCAAATCACTCAGGAGACTGAGATGGGAAGATCACTTGAACCCTGAAGGTTGAGGCTGCAGTGAGTCATGATCATGCCACTGTACTCCAGCCTGGACAAGAGAGCAAGACCTTGTTTCTAAAAAGGAAGTGTATATGTGTGTATATATATATGTGTGTGTGTGTGCACACACAGACACACAGAGAAAGTATATATATGTGTATATATGTAGTTTTATATGTATGAAAGTATATGTATATATATTCTTTTTATACATAAAAAGTATATATGTATACTTATATATTATATATATACACACACACACACACACTTTTTTCTAAATATATATATAATTAGAAAAAATTCTAGGCAACTGTCAGATCCTTAACACTTTACTTCACAGTTTAAGAATTTTATGTAATTGGGACCTATATTAGTATGCTTGGGCTTCCATAACAAAATACTATAGACTGGGTGGCTTAAGCAACAGAAATTTATTTTCCCACAGTTCTGGAGATAGGAATTCCAAGATCAAGTGGCTGGCCTATTTGGTTTCTGGGAGGGCTGCCTTTCTGGCTTATAAATGGCTGCCTTCTTGCTATGTCCTTACATGATGGAGAGAGGGTGAAAGAGATCTCTTTCTTCCTCATTTTGTAAGGCCACCATCATATTGGATCAGAGACCAACCCTTACAACTTTATTTAATCTTAATTACCTTCTAAAGACCCTGTCTCCAAATACAGTCACATTGGAGGTTAGGGCTTCATTATATGAATCATTCATTATATGGGGGACATAATTCGGTCAGTCTATAGCAGGACCATATCAAAATTGTATCTTGTCTTATAGATGAGAGAAGAGTTAAACTGGATTTACTTCTGAATGAAGTAGATGAAATTTTAGGTGAGTCAGAAGAAATGATGATAAGACAATAAAAATCATCTAAATGTTTAACAAAAGAAATTATTTTGAAAGTATTTTATGTTATCTTGTCCATATCATATTAATCCTGACATTGTATCTGTTTTTATTGGCAATTTATATACAACTAAAGAGACATGCTTTATAAACTAAATGTTATTAATTATTATAATCAGTTGTTATCTACATCTTACTTAAAAGGCCACAGTGTAATGCCTAAATAACATGTCCTATATTCTTTGAAGTTTTTCAATAATATAATTTCATTCTCTACTGTTCTGATAGCAAAATAGCAATGCAAATTACACATACAGGTAATATGACTACTAAGAATAAATTCATGATTCAGACACAAATGAAACAATAGAGCAAATATTACATGCTGGCAGAATTATTCATGCCACATCATTTTGTGAACTATCTGTGTGCTGTGTTTGTTTCTTGCAACATCGAAGAGCTTTCTTCTACCAGAAAGATGTTTCATTTCTGAAATCTCCCTTCTAGTTCTGTGTAATTAGACAACACTGATGTTTCTGTTGCTTTTTGTCCTGTATTTGTGGATAATGCTACACAGACATAATTGATTTTATAATTACTATTGAAATTTGATTTTGTTTATTATTTTCTTTTTTAAGGGGAAGAAATTGACTATCAATACCTGGAAAATATTCTGAAAAACATAGGGTTAAGACTCCAACTAAAGGAAAACTCGGTATTGATGAAAAGTTTGCCACTTGATGGTAAGCATTTAATTTACGATGAGGTATTTATTCATCCATTTACTAAAAGTCAATGTGCTGCCATTAGGTACTAAACATTATATTTGGCTCTGAGTCATAAAGAATAAAAAAGACAATGTCCAGGTCCTAAAAGAATTCAATGTATAGATAGACAGCACATGCCAAAAAAATTCCATGCACTTTGGTAAGTGCTGTAATATTAATAAAAACATAACAAAGGCACAGAGGCACACCCAACCAAGGCATGTTTGAGGAACCATGTATAACTTCATGTTGAGATAGTACAGAGTACACAGTGATATTCACAATATGTGAAGAAATGCTTCATTAATTTGACTCAATTTAATCAAAGAAGAAGACAAGTCCCAAGGCAGAGAGACCCAGGACTTTTTAATCATTTTCTTGAGCTGACACTCTCCTCTGGTCAATTTCACCTTTGTTTTCCCATAAGTTATCGGGGTACAGGTGGTATATGGTTACATGAGTAAGATCATTAGTGGTGATTTGTGAGATTTTGGTGCACCCATCACCCGGGCAGTATACACTGCACGCTATTTGTAGTGTGCTATCTCTCATCCCCTTTCCACCCTTCCCCCCAAGTCCCTAAAGTGCATTGTATCATTTTTATGGCTTTGTGTCCTCATAGCTTAGTTCCCACATATCAGTGAGAACATATGATGTTTGGTTTTCCATTCCTGAGGTACTTCGCTTAGAATAATAGTCTCCGATCTCATCCAGGTTGCTGCAAATGCCATTAATTCATTCCTTTTTATGGCTGAATAGTATTCCATCATATAAATATACCACAGTTTCTGTAACCACTTGTTGATTGATGGGCATTTGGGTTGTTTCCACTTTTTTACAATTGCGAGCTGTGCTGCCATAAACATGTGTGTGCAGGTATCTTTTTCATATAATGACTTCTTTTCCTCTGGGTTGATACCCAGTAGTGGGACTGCTAGATCAAATAGTAGTTCTACTTTTAGTTCTTTAAGGAATCTCCACACCATTTTCCATAGTAGTTGTAATAGTTTACATTCCCACCAGCAGTGGAGAAGTGTTCCCTGTTTACCACATCCACGCCAACATCTACTGTTTTTGGATTTTTTTCTTATAGCCATTCTTGCAGGAGTAAAGTAGTATCGTATTGTGGTTTTGATTTGGATTTCCCTGATCATTAGTGATGTTGAGCTTTTTTCGTATGTTTGTTGGCCATTTGTATATCTTCTTTTGAGAATTGTCTATTCATGTCCTTAGCCCACTTTTTGATGTGACTGTTTTTCTTCTTACTGATTTGAGTTTGTTGTAGATTCTGAATATTAGCCCTTTATCAGATGCGTAGATTGTGAAGATTTTCTCCCACTCTGTGTTGTCTTAAAAGAGCAATTTTATTTTGCTCATGATTTTGTAGGTCAAGAACTAGGTTTTTCTGGATCCAGAGAAGTTATTTACATGATAGCTTACTCTCTTAAAAGGCAAATTGGTACTGACTCTTGTCTGGGAACTCAGCAGGACTTCAGTCTGGGACCTCCAGTTCTTCTCTATGTGGGCTTCTCCACAGGATTTCTTCATCTTCCTCATAGCATGGTGGCTGGTTTTCAAGAGCAATTGTTCTAAGAGACAGGTAGTGGAAGCTGTCAGTTTTATAAGGCCTAGGCACAGAAACAGGTACAGAGTCACTTCTGTAGTTTTCTGTTGATTAAAGCAATTGCATAACATACACAAAATCAAAAGCGAAAGGACATAAATCCTCCACATCTCCATGGTTAGGTTGAAATGTTAAATGAAAAAACAAAAACTGTGTCATTCCTACTCAATTGTCAAGAATTTTATATTTTAATACTCTGTTTGGTTTACTACATCAAACACAGTACCTTAAGTTGTCATTGTTAGAATTTATTTAAAGTTAAATTGAACAATGATTTTATATAGCCCAGTATTCGAGGGAAAGTGTGAAAGCTGTTTTTCTAAAATTGAGAGAGAATAAACTGGATAGAATCTTTAAAAAAAAAAGGAAAGGGTGTTTTATCCCCACTCCCCACTTTATGTTTTTGTGTTCCATGGGTCTACGTGCCTATTTTTTTACCAGTACCATGCTGTTTTGGTGACTATGGACTCATAGTATAGTTTGAAATCAGGTAGTGTGGATGGCTCCAGATGTGTTATTTTTGCTTAGTCTTGCTTTGGCTATATGGGCTCTTTTCTGGTTCCATATGAATTTTAGGATTTTTTTTCTAATTCTGTGATGAATGATGGTGGTATTTAGATGGGAACTGCACTGAATTTGTATATTCCTTTTGGCAGTATGGTCATTTTCACAATATTGATTCTACCGATCCGTGAGCATGGGATGTGTTTCCATTTGTTTGTGTCATCTGTGATTTCTTTCAGCAGTGTTTTGTAATTTTTCTTGTAGAGATCTTTCACCTCCTTGGTTAGGTATATTCCTAAGTATTTTATTTATTTATTTATTTATTTTACAGCTGTTGTGAAAGGGATTGAGCTCTTGATTTGATTCTCCGCTTGGTTGCTGTTGGTGTATAGAAGCACTACTGATTTGTATACATTAATCTTGTATCCAGAAACTTTGCTGAATTCTTTTATCAGTTCTAGGAGCTTTCTAGAAGAGTCTTTATGGTTTTCAAGATAAATGATCATATTATCAGCAAACAGTGACAGTCAATTTCACTTTTAACCACAGAGAAACGTAGAACTGAAAGAAGGCAATCCACCAACCATAAAAGTTACAGGATAAAATACCAGAGGGCAGCTTACCAGTCTTCTCTTGTTTACATTAGTCCTTCACTCCTGAAGGGTTTATGTGGTGCCCTGATGTTACCTTCCAGACACCGGACCATTGGTCTAGCCTTTTGTTGCTGCTTTCTGTAATGAAGGAGTAGGCAATGATAATCTTAGATTCATGGTACATAAAGGAAAAGGCAAAAATCTTTTAAAAAGAAAAGTTTCCCTAATTGGTGCTTTAACTGCCACTGCTAGCCCTCTACCCTAGGCTGTAAACACACACACACACACACATACACACACACACACACACACAGCTTTTCATTTCCCAAGAATTTTGTTATGGCTTTTCACTTGGTTCCTACAATCCAAATTTCTGCTCAAACTTCAGTTGCTCCAGGGTTGATTTGTGGAGAGGAGGCCAGAAATCCATGCTACTTCACCACCTATGTGGGATTAGATGAATTTCTGTAAATATGAAACCTGTCATGGCAGCAGACAACATCTCACTGATTACCTTGAAGAAGAATTTATTGTTATGGGCTTGTCAATGAAAATACAAAGCAAAGCATCCATTTGATGTTATGTGAAAAATATATAGAAATGCTCAATGCTAACATTCAAAGAAATCTTGTCATAATCATCAGGTTTTTTGCTCAAGAATCGCTTGAGCTAAATCTAACTATATCTAACATTATACTTGGGAACACCAATATGCATGATCTTAAGCAGAGGAGTAGAAAAGGAGAAATCAGAAGAAAAAAAGAGAGACATAAGAAAGGCATGGCAAGGTACCACTAATTGTTTTGGTGTCAAAAAAGAAAAAGTAGGTAGGTTTATTATCTTAAGAGCTCTCTCCTGTTGGTCTAATTCTTATTTTGGGTATAAACACAAACACGAAAAGATTTGAGTAAAATTATAAGAGTTGTTCTTCCGAAATTGCTGGTTTTTTAAATATTTTATCAAGCCTCCCTACCAGTTGCTATACTATGCTTTAATATCTTACAGTTGCTGGAAAGTTGTATAAGCATAAGTTGCTGGATGGTATAAGGTCTCTCAAAGGTAAGTGAGAAATCAGGTAAAACTGATTGTGTTTACTTTTTTAAAACCACATATATTTGGGGTGATGACAAGTTTGGCAATTAACCTGTTTATTGTTTTTGTCTCATAATTTACTACTTTGAACATAGTGCCTTTGGGGAAGTGATTTTTTATTCTATCACTGCATTTAAAATCTATTTTACAAATAGAATTATAAAGGCAGCTTCTTGCCACATTTCATCAGACTTGCCTAGTTCTTCAGTTTTTTCCTTATAAATGTCCCATGAAACCTATAGTCAGATCCTCTAGACAAAAATGGGAGAGCATTCCCATTTTTGGGATTCACATGGCAATTATTTTCATATAAACAACTTTATTGTTTCTTTGATTGTTTACCCTCTATTAACTCATGGACATGCCTAGTATTTTTCACTTTATCATTATTGTTTGCATTTCTCATTCCTGTTCTCTTTTTTCTAAGGAGTGAAGCTTAGTGTTGATAAACTAGAACCTTTCATGGAACATATGGGCTTTGAGCTTGAGGAAGAGGAATACCAAGATCTGAAAAACAACCTGCCCATTGATGGTGAGCTGCTGTTTAAGCAAAACTTTGGATCATATATGAGAACTTCTGATAGTATATTTAGAGTTGTGCAGAAGCATTAAAAAATAAAAAGAACTGCCCTCCAGCCTGAGCAACAGAGTGAGACCCTGTCTCCAAAATAAATAAATAAATGCATAAATAAATAGATACGTAAAAAGGTAAGAGTCCAGTCCTCAAGAATTAATTCATGCAGTAGACTTTATTGAACATCTAATATGTGTACACTATTAGGAATACAAAAATGAAGATGACAGAATCTCTGACCTCTAGGAGTTCATAGTCTAGTAATACATCTTATATGCAAACAATATATCATAATGCAATGTGGTTGTGAATATATAAAACTATGTTCAGTGAGATCTTAAAGGAGGAAAGAACTAAGTTTTCCAGGAAGGGAATCAGAGAAAGGCTTGTCAGAAGACGTGTGGAAATTCTCCCAGATGAAGGCACTCCAGATAGGAAAATAATGCATACAAAAGCGTAAATGCATGCGAAGCCACAGAATTGTTAGGATTGCAGCAAGAATTTCCTTGCGGGTAGAATGTGACTTCATGTTACAACATGGCAGGAAAAAAAAAGGCTGGAAAGGCAGATTGCCAAGACTGGAAAGCTATGTAGTTTAGCTTTCATCATCCTTTTGAGCCTTTCAGTAATGTGTGTCTTTCTAGAAATTTGTTCATTTCATCTAAGTTGTCTGATTTGTTGGCATGAAGTTGTTCATAGTATTTCTTTATATTCCTTTTTAATTTCTATGAAGTCAGTAATGATGTCCTCTCTCATGATTTTGATCTGTAATTTTTTTTTTTTTTTTTTTTTTTTTTTGAATGGGTGTCGCTGCCTCTTTTTCCCTTGCTCGCCCAGGCTGGAGTGGATCTCAGCTCACTGCAAGCTCCGCCTCCCGGGTTTACGCCATTCTCCTGCCTCAGCCTCCCGAGTAGCTGGGACTACAGGCGCCCGCCACCTCGCCCGGCTAGTTTTTTTGTATTTTTTAGTAGAGACGGGGTTTCACCGTGTTAGCCAGGATGGTCTCGATCTCCTGACCTCATGATCCACCTGTCTCGGCCTCCCAAAGTGCTGTGATTACAGGCTTGAGCCACTGCACCCGGCCAATCTGTATCTTTTTTATTTAGTCAAACTAGCTAAAGATTTGCCAATTTTGTTGATCTTTTCAAAAAACCAACATCAATTTTTCCTATCAATTTTCTGTTTTCCATTTTATTGATTTCAGCTCTGATCCTCATTATTTTCTTCTCTCAGCTTACCTTAGGTTTAGTTTGCTCTTCTTATGGTGAAAATTTAATTCTTAATTTAAAATCCTTCTTTCTTCTTTCTTTCTTTCTTTCTTTTTCTTTCTTCTTCTTCTTCTTCTCCTCCTCCTTTTTTTTTTTTTTTTTTTTTTTTGACAGAGTTTTGCTCTTGTTTCCCAGGGTGGAGTGCAATGGCACAATCTCGGCTCACTGCAACCTCCGCCTCCCGGGTACAAGCGATTCTCATGCCTCAGCCTCCTGAGTAGCTGGGACTACAGGCATGCACCACCATGCCTGGCTAATTTTTGTATTTTTAGTAGAGAAGGGGTTTCACTGTGTTGGTCAGGCTGGTCTCAAACTCCTGACCTCAGGTGATCCACCCACCTCAGCCTCCCAAAGTGCTGGGATTACAGGTGTGAGCTACCATGCCCAACCCTTTCTTCATTTCTAATACAGGTGATTGCAGGTATAAATTTTCCTCTAAGCACTGCTTTAGCTGCATTTTGAAATTTTTCATATTTGTGTTTTCATTTTCATTCAGTTTAAAATACTTTCTAATTTCCCAGGTAATTTCTTCTTGATCCATGGGTTATTTAGAAATGTGTTGTTTAATTTCTAAATGTTTCTGGAGTTCCCAAATCTCCTTCTGCTGTTGACTTAGAATTAATTCCTTTGTGGTCAGAAAACATACTTTCTTGATTTCAGTTCTTTTAAACTGAATGAGACTTGTTTTATGGCCTAGCATATGGTCTAGCCTGGTGAATGTTCCATGATTGATAATATTCTTCAAGTCTCCTTTAACCTACTTATTTTCCTGTTTGGTTGTTCTATCCATTATTTAGAGTGGGGTACTGAAGTTTCCAAATATTATACTTTAATTGTCTATTTCTCCCTTCAATTTTAGGCTTCATACTGTAAGTAGTGGTATATCTAGAGTATTTCTCTCTTGCAAAATCAGTGCTGATGGCAATGTAGACAGCATTATTGGAAGTAAAGACTGGAACTTGAGAGATACTTCCATGATCCAACAAGAGACAGTGAGAGCCTAGGCAAGGGAAGTGAATTTAGTGATGAATAACAGAGTGATCTGCGAAAGATTTTAGAATTTAAATGTATTTATTAAAACTAATAAAAATTTAAAGTGAATAGAGCATGGTGATTGATGACATGTGAGGTATGAAAAAGTTGAAGAATTTTAGGAAGGGATATCCTAATGAGGAAGTCATCAGTCATAAGCCGATTCCAGAAGAGATTCAGGTTAAAATGTCAGGAGAGTAGTTTCAGTTTTGGACACGTAGAGTTTGAGATACTTGTAAGACATTGACTTAGAAATATGAATTAAGAGATGGTTGGAAAGGAATACTCTAATAATTCATCTTATTTATCTTTAATGAGGAAGTTAGCAGTCCACAAATTTATCAAAACTTTAGCAATGTGTCAGAGCACTGATGAGATTATTAGTAGACCAAAAGGAAAAGCCAAAAAATAAATAAATGGAGAAAATGTCTGAGAGGGAAAGTCTGCAAGTAAACAAATAAAATAAGGAGGAAAATAGTAGTAAGAGAAAGACAGAAAAGAAGAATTTATCTACAGTGAATTATGACCTACCAAAAATGACACGTTTAAGATGGGGAATAGTAATAATTCCCCTTAACATCAATCACATCTACCGTACATTAGCATGGCCTCATAATAATGACACCTACAAGTATCCAAAAAGAACATTTTCCAAAATAATAACCCTCTAGGGAAAAATAGCAAAAACCTGGGATTCATCCCACTGATTCCACTGATTATATGGCATTGTGGAATGAAGTTGGAATTGGAATTAGCCAGACAGGGATTTGAATCTCAGCTCCGACAACTCTTGGCTGTGCAAGATTGGTCAAATTAACTGCTCTGAATCTTAGTGCCCTTCTGTCAAAAAGAAAATAATATCTACCTTTCATAATTGTTGTAAATTCTTAGTATAGGCCTTAGCACATAGTAAACATTTAAAATTAGCTTTATTAGTAGCAATAATAAAAATCAATATACATTCATCTCAACACAATGCCACCTATTTATGCCCTGCTCTGGTCAGAAGAAAGTGAATTTTCCATTGGATTTTTTTTTATTATTGGAAATACATTATTTCCCAGTATTTTTATCTACTTATAAAATGATGTAGATACTTTTTCTTATTCATTATCCAGTTATCTTGAAACTTTGCTGGAACGCCGTGATGATTTTGGTTGTAGAAATGTCAACCATCTCCTTGAGTACTACTTTTCAAGTCAATGAGCTCTTAGGAAATAGCATTAGAAATATTCTTATAAATAGCATTCAGGCTATTCATAAGTCTTCTGTGGGAATAATTAAAACACATTAGGATGAAAAATTAGCCAGGCATGGTGGTGTGTGCCTGCAGTCCCAGCTACTCAGGAAGCTGAAGCAGGAGAATCACTTGAACCTCAAGAGGCAGAGGTTGTGGTGAGGTGAGATTGTGCCACTGACCTCCAGCCTGGGCGACAGAGCCAGATTCTGTCTCAAAAATAAATAAATAAAATAAAATACATGAGAATGGATAAGACGTCTTTCTCCAAGGCACTGACCATCTGTAAGACCCCCTTTTTTTTAGACGGAGTTTTGCTTGTGTTGCCCAGGCTGGAGTGCAATGGCGTGATATTGGCTCACCGCAACCTCTGCCTCCCAGGTTCAAGCGATTCTCCTGCCTCGGCCTCCCAAGTAGCTAGGACTACCAGCGCCTGCCACCTCACCCAGCTAATTTTAGTATTTTTAGTAAAGACAGGGTTTCACCATGTTGACCAGGCTGGTCTCAAACTCCTGACCTCAGGTGATCCACCCGCCTCAACCTCTGAAAGTGCTGGGATTATAGGCGTGAGCCATCGTGCCTGGCCTATAAGGGTCTTTAAAGACCCACTTTAAAAGGCAATATATCCATATAACAATATTGTACCCCTTAAATTTATACAAGTTTTAAAAAGAAAAATAGAAAATAAAGTTTAAAAACAAAATTTTAAAGATATTGTTAAAGTTCAGTTAGATTGATCTAAAAATTATTTTATTGATATTGAAGTGAGTAGTAGAAGAAGGACAGAAAGCCTAAGCTAAGTGTGGATTGAGCATAGAAGTAGGCATCGGTGTGGCCGGTTCACGCCTGTAATCCCAGCACTTTGGGAGACTGAGGCGGGCGGATCACGAGGTCACTAGGTCGAGACCATCCTGGCTAACACAGTGAAACCCCGTGTCTACTAAAAATACAAAAAATTAGCCGGGTGTGATGGCGGGCGCCTGTAGTCCCAGCCACTCCCGAAGCTGAGGCAGGAGAATGGCGTGAACCCGGGAGGCGGAGCTTGCAGTGAGTCGAAATGGCGCCTGGGCGCACTCCAGCCTCCGTAACAGAGTCATCAGTAAAAAGAAGGAAAGGAAAGGAAAGGGGAAGGGGAAGGGAGGGGGAGGGAAAGGAGAGGGGAAGGGAGGGGAGGGGAAGGGAAGGGAAGGGAGGGGAAAAGGAAGGGAAAAGAGAAAGGGAGGCATTGGTGGCCGGGCACGGTAGCTCACGCCTGTAATCCCAGCACTTTTGGGAGACCGAGGCAGGTGTATCACGAGGTCAGTAGATCAAGACCAGCCTGGCTAACACGGTGAAACCCCATCTCTACTAAAAACACAAAAATTAGCCAGGCGCAGTGGCAGGTGCCTGTAATCCCAGCTACTCGGGAGGCTAAGGCAGGAGAATCTCTTGAACCCAGGAGATGGAGGTTGCAGTGAGCTAATATCCCACCACTGCACTCTAGCCTGGGTAACAGAGCAAGACTCCATCTCAAAAAAAGAGAGAGAAGAGAGAGAGAGAGAGAAAGAAATGCATTGTTTTTGGTTGATGGGAAGGATTTTTTGCAGATATATGGACTGTTAATGCTCCAAGGCAAATCTTTTCTACTGGAGCAGTTTCCCTTTTTAAGTTGCTTGACAGTATTATAATGAATAAATTAGAGTTATTCCAGATACTTCTTCAGTGTGTCAGCCCAGCATTCTACTACATGAGGTTAACTATCTTAATAAAATAAAAGTGATATTAGAAGTGTGAAGTAAGCATCCTTTTTATAATCAGAGCTTTTTCTTTCCACATTTTCCATTTGGAGTTTTAAAAGGATAAAATTCTAGGCTGGGCGCGGTGACTCATACCTGTAATCCCAGCACTTTGGGAGGCCAAGGTAGGTGGATCACTTGAGGTCAGGAGCTGGAGACCAGCCTGGCCAACATGGTGAAACCCCATCTCTACCAAAAATATAAAACTAGCTGGGCATGATGGCATGTGCCTGTAATCCCAGTTACTTGTGAGGCTGAGGCAAAAGAATCACTTGAACCCCAGAGGCGGAGGTTGCAGTGAGCCAAGATCACACCATTGCACTCCAGCCTGGGAGACAGAGTGAGACCCTGACACAAAATGAATAAATAAGTATCAAAACAAAATGACGAAATTCTAGAATAAATCTCATAAATTTGCTGAATTTTGTGTTTTCCTTCGATATATGACTTTTTTTTTTTTTTTTTTTTTTTGAGACAGAGTCTCACTCTGCTCCCCTGGCTGGAGTGCAATGGCATGATCTTGGCTCACTGTAGCCTCCACCTCCTGGGTTCAAGCGATTCTCCTGCTCAGCCTCCTTTATATTTTATACAAATATAAAATTTTTTGTATTTTTAGCAGAGATAGGGTGTCACCATGTTGGCCAGGCTGGTCTCGAACTCCTGACCTCAAATGATTCATCCACCTTGGCCTCTCATAGTGCTAGAATTACAGGTACACCTGGCCAATGTATGACTGTTACATATTTCTTCTATTATTGTCTTTATGCATACGATTCTGTCTTGTCTTACAGATGAGGGAAGAGTTAATGTGAATGTGGTGATGGATGAAGGATATCTTTTTACAGGTAGGTTAGATTTTTATTAACTCATTATTGAGCGTCTATCATATCCCAACCTTCCAGGAGCTTGTGTAGTTGAGGCAGGAAAAATACATACAAGTAAATGCAATAAAATTTTATAGATTGCAAAGAACCTATGCAAGGTAAAGAAGGGGAGGGATGGTCACTTGCACCTGAGAAGAAGTTGAGAAATAGTTTTGTAGAGTGGGCAACATACGAGCTGATCCTTAAAAAAATGAAACAGTGTTTGTCAGGGAGACAGTGTTTCTGATAGAGGGAAAAAAGCATAATTTTTGTATTTTCAGTAGAGATGGGCTTTCACCATGTTGGCCAGGCTGGTCTGGAACTCCTGACCTCGGGTGATCCACCCACCTCGGCCTCCCAAAGTGATGGGATTGCAGGTGTGGGCTACTGTGCCCAGCCAAGAAAAAAAGTCAAATACACCTATAATAAGAAATTCAGTTACAGATACACCTCATGTTATTATGCCCTGCTTTATTGCATTTTACAGATACTGTGATTTTTACAAATTGAAGGTTTGCAACAACCCTGCATTAAGCAAGCCTATCAATGTCATTTTTCCAATTGCATGTCCTCATTTCATGTCTCATGTGTCATGTCTTGCAGACTTTTTTGTTGTATCTATTATGGTAATCTGTGATCAATGATCTTTGATGTTACTACTGTAATTGTTATGTAGTACCATGAACAGCAACCATACAAGACTGGTAAAAAAAAAAAAAAAAAAAAAAAAAATGCATAAAAGGCACCAAGATGAGAAACGAAACAGTATGGAACTTTAAGGAACTAGAAATAATTTGGCATAAACTGGATCATAAAATGCTATCAGGAATTTGGCAAGAAATAAAGAGCAAGGAAGGAGATGTGGTAGGCTCCCAAAAATATCCAAGTCCTAATCCTCAGAACCTGTGAATGTTAACTTATATGGGAAAAGTGACTTTGGAGATATGATTAGGAACCCTGAGATGGGGAGATTATCCTTATCTAAGTATACCTTAAATGTAATTACAACTGTCCTTAAGAGGGAGACTTGATGACAGAAAAAGTAGAAGGCAGTGTGACAATGGAAGCAGGATGCTACAATGAGAGCTTTGAGGATGGAAGAAGGGATATGAGCTGAAGAATATAAGTGGCCTCTAGAAGTGGAAGGCAAGGGAACAGATTCTCTGCCAGATCCTCCTGAAGAAACCAGCCCTGCTGACACCTTGACTTTAGCCCAATAAAACTGATTTCAGACTTTCACTCTCCAGAACCATTAAGAGAAAAAAATTGTATTGTTTTAAACCACCAAGTTTTTGGTAAATTGTTACAGCAACAACAGGGACTTACACAGGGGACAAATCATAGAGGTCCTTGACTACCAAATAAAGGAGTGTGAATTTTATTCTGTGGAGTATGGAGTCATTCCAGGATTTTAAGCTAGAGACAATGTGATGAGATGTGCAAATTAGAAAGATTTGCCGGGTGCAATGGATCATGCCTGTAATCCACCACTTTGGGAGGTCGAGGCAGGTGGATTGCCTGAGCTCAAGAATTTGAGACCAGCCTGGGCAACTTGATGAAACTCCATCTCTACAAAAAAAATAAAATAAAAATAAACCAGGTGTGGTGGCGCATACCTGTAGTCTCAGTTACTTGGGGGACTGAGGTGGGAGGATGGCTTGAGCCCAGGAGGTTGAGGCTGCAGTGAGCTACAACTGTACTATGTAATCCAGCCTGGATGACAAAGCAACCCCCTGTCTCCAAAAAAAAGAAAAGAAAAGAAAGAAAAGAAAGAAAGATTGCTTCAGCAGCAATATAGAGAATGGATGAATGGATGAAGGTGTGTGTACAGGAGAGGAGTCAGGGAGAAGAGTTAGGAAGCAAATTGTCACTGTCCAGGCAAAAGACAATAAAAGACAGAGGTAATCATTATCAATGAGACTTGAGAGGAAGGGACACATATAAGAGATATTACAGATATAGTATTACAGGATTTGATTCCTGATCAGTTATGGAGTTTTGAAGAAAGGAAACAGTAAAGGATGACTGCTTTGTTTCTGAGTTCGGTAGTTGGGTGAGTGATAAAGACAGTCACCAAAATAAAGAAATTCAGTAAAAGATTTAGAAGTAGAGTTACCATTTTGGGTCATATTGAATTTTGAGACATCTAAAGAGAATTGAACCATAGGCAATTGAATATATGAGTAAGAATCTGGGCCAGGCGCAGTGGCTCACGCCTGTAATCCCAGAACTTTGGGAGGCTGAGGTGGGTAGATCGCCTGAGGTCAGGAGTTCGAGACCAGCCTGGCCAACATAGTGAAACCCCGTCTCTACTAAAAGTACAAAGAAAAAAATTAGTTGGGCGTAGTGGTGGGCACCTGTAATCCTAGCTACTAGGGAGGCTGAGGCTGGAGAATCGCTTGAACCCATGAGGCAGAGGTTGCAGTGAGCTGAGATCGCACCATTGCACTCCAGCCTGGGCAACAAGTGCAAAACTCTGTCTCAAAAAAAAAAAAAAAAAAAAAAGAATCTGAAGCCACCTGTTTTTCCAAGACAAGGAGACTTTAAGTCAGGAAGGACAAAGATATAGAGAATCTAGGTAGATGTAGGAGTAAAATTCAAAGGAGTTTACCTAAACGCTTCAATTTTCTTTGTAAAGTAGAAAACAGGATCATCTACTAGCAGGAAGGACACAATGGTGGGGTAGGGAATTTCAAGAAGAGTATTGATGATTTTACATAACTTTTTTTCTTGTTTTTGTTTTTAGTTTTATGTATGTAGGGGATACAGGGGCAGATTTCTTACATGTATATATTGCATCATTGTGAAGTCTGGACTTTTAGTGTACCCATCACTCAAACAGTGAATATTGTACCCAATAGGTAATTTTTCAACCCTCACCCCTGCACCCTCCCACCTTTTGTAGTCTTTAATGTCCATTATTCCACTCTGTATGTCCATGTGTACAAATTGTTTAGCTCCCAGTTACAAGTGAGACCGTGTGGTACTTAACCCTCTGTTTCAGAGTTATTTTGCTGAGGATAATGGCCTGCAGTTCCATCCATGTTGCTGCAAAAGACATCATATCATTGTTTTGGTGTCTGAGTAGTATTCCTTGGTATATACATACTCCATCCTCTCTATCCAGTCCTCCATTGATGGACAGTTAGATTGATTCCACATCTCTGCTATAGTGCTGCAATAAGCGTAAGAGTGCAGATATCTTTTTAATATAATGATTTCTTTCCCGTTGGGTATATACCCATTAGTGGAACTGCTGGATCAAATGGCAGCTCCATGTTTTAGTTCCCTGAGAAATCTCCATACTGTTTTCCATAAAAGCTATACTAATTTGATTTTGTATAACTTTGATAGAAAATATGAACTAAAGTTAATAAGGAATACATGAAGGCATTGCTGAGAAGTGCTAAGAGGTAACCGTAGTTAAATATCATTAAAACATAATGGCAACCTTTTGTATGATTATATAATATTCTTCAGTTGGACCAAATTGGGAGATGCTAAGACTCATGTACCAGAAGAATGAAAGCATAGAGACTTAACCGTGTAGTCCAAGAAAATGATTAAGTGTTCTAGTGTGGATGCAGAAAGAAGTGAGGTTGTGAACTTAGAGAAAAGTGAGAGAAGGGGAATGAAATTCTCTATAAAGATATAACAGGTGTGGTATGAGAAAGGAAGTAAAATAAATGGAAGAATTACAGGATATTGGCCAGAAGTCAGCCCGTTAGAATTTAAGGTTTTAGAGGTAAAGCATTTCTAGGTGATGACAAAGTCCAGAACGTGTCCTTGAGAGTTAACTGACGTAGAATTTAAGAGATAGTCATTGAGGATAAGAAGGTCAAGAAATCTGGAGGCCAGTCATTGAATGAGTTATCTGAATGAAGGCTGGAATTCCTTATAGTGATGCCAGGAGTTTTGGAGGAAGAAGACGACTATGGGTCATGGGACAAGCTCCTAAAGTGACCAAGAAGCCAGTGGGTGGCAATAAAAATAAGAGATAGTCATTGAGGATAAGAAGGTCAAGAGATTTGGAGGCCAAGTCATTGAATAAGTTATCCATATAAAGGCTGGAATTCCTTATAATGATGCTAGGAGTTTTGGATGCAGGAGAAGACTATGGGTCATAGGACAAGCTCCTGAAGTGACCAAGAAGCCAGTGGGTAGAAATAAAAAGAAAGCCAAATTCCATAAATCTCAAAAGAGAAGAGGTTTGGATTTGGTTGGAAAGCAGCGGTTGCAATGTAGGAGAATGCCAAGCCATGAGACAATTAGGACATAGAAAAATGAGCAGTCTTGGTGACAGAACAAGGCTCCATCTAAGAAGGAAGGAAGAAAGGAAGAAAGGAAAGAAGGAAGGAAGGAACAGAGGGAGGGAGGGAGGGAGGGAAAAATGAGCAGTCTTATCTCAAAAATAAAAGCAAGTAACAGAAAATTATATTAGGAAGAGGCAAAGTTCAGTTAAAAAGGACAGTTAAAAGTCTGTAAAGAGACTAAAGATACAGAGAAATTCGTATTAACTGAAATATTAATTTCAGAGTGCACTATGAGAAGGGTTGAAAAGAAGCTAGCAGCAGAAAGAAAAATGTCAAGGTAATAAAACAATAGACTAGAGAGGGCAAAAATTTGAAGGGGTTTTCATTCTGAAAAATGAGAGCAGTATGGATAAAAGGTATAGTTAGACCATGCTCTTGAGGCAGAAGCTCCCATGTCTTGTCAAAACCCTGATCAAGTTAGCAGACTAGGAGCTTGCTCTTTTGTGTCTGAAGAGTCATTCCTTTGGCTGGTGACAGGGGGATATTAGAAGCCCCAGTGGTCCAAGTCTTCACAAGAGAGTTCCGAAGCATCTTGGGGAAAACAACCCTTGTGCACATTTCCTCCTAGGCACTTGTGCAGATGACTGACTAACTCTCAAGACATTCCCCTCTCAGTGGAAAAACTGCATTGTGGTGCCAGAGGACTAAAAGCAAGAATTTTCTTTTGCTGGAATTGGAAAGGATTGGGACATCTGATTTGTCTGCCTTAAGTGCATCTTTAGCTTTTGTTCCCTGCCAAGAGAGCTACTGTAAACATGATGAACATTCATAAAACCCACTGGACTTTCTGTAGGAAGTATGGCAAGTTCCAACCCCACAAAGTGACACAGTGCAAGAAGGGCAAGGATTCTCTGTATGCCCAGGGAAAGCAGTGTTATGACAGGAAGCAGAGTGGCTATGATGGGTAGACTAAGCCGATTTTCCAGAAAAGCCTAAAACCACAAAGAAGATTGTGCTGAGGCAAGAGTGTGTTGAGCCCAACTGCAGATCTCAGCGAATGCTGGCTGTTAAAGAGAACTGAAAGGAACTAAAGCAAGAAAGGGCCAAGTGATTCAGTTCTGAGCTTCATCTTTGGTTTTATTAAGAAAACAGTAAAACCTTGAGGTTATGTTCAAACAATAAATAAAGAAATTGCATCTTCAAGCAGAGAAAAGAGCCATGAAAAGAGCCAGAGAAAGGAGCCATGGTGAAGGAAAATTGTACACAGTCATCCTAAGAGCAGACTGGGAGATGGTTGCAGGGGCAAAGATAACTGGTGATTTCCACTCTCATAACCAGGAACTAAAACTAAGTTTGTTACCAAAGAAATTTGTTAGCTTTGTGTCTTATTCATGCTTGTGATAGTTTGGTTTTCACCTGTCTGTTTCCCTCTAGCACTTTACATTAAAGTTCTAAGAATAAAAAATCTCTACATGCTAGTGTTCCTGTGGCACGAAAAAAGAGGTGAGCTTGAGAGGTTGCATCTTACTTCCTAGCCACCCTTAAGGAAGGAAGCACAAGAAATTCACTGTATTACAGCTACCAAGAAGAGGAAAGCAGACTCACCAAATCCCTGAGGCATGACAGAGAGCCAGACCAGGTTAAGATAGAAGCCCCTAGAGAAAGGCCCTGTATGATGCCAAAACATGCAATTAAGAAAATTTTGCACAATCGAGATTCCAATGTTTGCACAAAATTCTATTTTAAATGCAGTGTTTCCCTTTCTGATACATTTTCTCACTCTATCTATTTACTGGTGAATGTTTTTATCTAATGGCTTACAGCCTAATTTTCACTATCATTGTTTTAGAAAACAGCTCTAAGATTATGTCTGAGCAATAGCTGGCATTATCGCCAGATTTATTTCATTAATGTTTAATCAGCAAATGATGCCACATGAACATTTTTCTTAATATAGAATCATCATTCTTCAAACTTTAAACCACTTTCACTTTTTACTTTTTAAAGGTGAGAAGGTTGATGCTAGGAACCTGGAAAATTTTCTGGAAAATATGGGGATAAATCTCACAGAAGATAAAGGCATGCAACTGCTGAATAATCTTCCAATTGATGGTAAGCATTAAAAATATCACACCAAACCAGGCGTGGTGGCACATGCTTGTGGTCCCAGCTACTCAGGAGGCTGAGGCGGGAGGATTGCTGGGGCCCAGGAGGTCAAGGCTGCTTTGAGCAGTGATCACGCCACTGCATTTCAGCCTGGATGACAGGGCAAGTCCCTGTCTCAAAAAGTTTAAATTTAAATTTAAAAAATCGTAGTAAAACCAGATGCAGTGACTCACACCTGTAATCCCAGCACTTTGGGAGGCTGAGGTGAGAGGATCGCTTGAGTTCAAGAGTTCAAGACCAACCTGGGAAACATAGTGAGACCCCATCTTTACAAAAAAAAAAAAGTTTAAAAAGTAGCCAGGCACAGCTGCACGTACCTGTAGCCCCAGCTACTTGGAAGGCTGATGTGGGAGAATCACTTGAGCCCAGGAGGTGGAGTCTATAGTGAGCTGAGATCCTGTCACTGCACTCCAGCCTGGGAGACAGAACAAAACCCTGTTTCAACAACAACAAAATCATAGGATTCTTTGAAGAAGGCCGAGCATATGAACTTTTGTGACTAATACTCCCTATGTAAGGAATGTTCCATGTCCCTCCAACAAAATGATGTCATCAAATTGAGAACTGTTTCCATTCCTGAGTTTTATTCTTGAAAATGAAAAAGTATAAATTTCTGGAATAAAATATTTTAAAATGTACATTCTGAAATTATGTATGTTTTGTGCTATTTTTTAAATATCTACATTGCTACCTGAGACTTGAATTTTTCTCTGTCTTGCAGCCAAAGGAAAGGTATATGTGAACAGATTGATGAAAGAATTGAGAGGTCTTGAAGGTGAGTGAGAAGTAAGATAAAAAGGCAGGTAAAACTGAAGTCCTCAAGCTTTACTGTTGTTTTCAAAAACCCTTCCTATTTCACAATTTTCAGATTATTAATCCTACTGTCCCAACTGTTTATTAATTCATTGTTTATCCTTATGTGCTTTAAGCACATTACAATCACTAAAATGGTTTAACTACAGTAGACTCAAAAACAGTAGTTTCCAAATAAAGTTGTGCATCAGAATCACCAAGAAAAAAACACTGTTTTAGCATTCAGATCACTAGGCCCTTTTTCTGTCATACTGATCTTGGATTTCTAGAGCTAGTACCTAGAAACACGTTATTAAAAAGTTTTGAGGAGGAGGGACCAAGATGGCCCAATAGGAAGAGCTCTGGTCTACAGGTCCAGCAAGACCATCACAGAAGGTGGGTGATTTCTCCTTTTCCAATTGAGGTACCCAGTTCATCTCATTGGGACTGGTTGGGCAGTGGGTCCAACCCATGGAGGGCAAGCAGAAGCAGGGTAGGACATTGCTTCACCCAGGAAGTGCAAGGAGCCAGGGACCTCCCTCCCCACATCCAAGGGAAGCCATGAGGAACTGTGCTACCCCGCTGGGTTACTACACTTTTCCCACAGTTTTTGCAATCTGCAGATCAGGAGATTCCCTCATGTGCCTACACCACCAGGGCCCTGGGTTTCAAGCACAAAACTGGGCAGCTATTTGGGCAGACACTGAGCTAGCTGCAGGAGTATTTTTTTGAACCCCAGTAGTGCCTGGAACCCCAGTGAGACAGAACCATTCACTCCTCTGGAAAGCGGGCTGAAGCCAGGGAGCCAAGTGGTCTCGCTCAGCAGGTCCCAGTCCCATGGAACCCAGCAAGCTAAGAACCACTGGCTTGAAATTCTCACTGCCAGCACAGCAGTCTGAAGTCAAACTGGGATGATCAAGCTTGGTAGAGGGGGGAGCATCTGCCATTATTGAGGCTTTAGTAGGTAGTTTTCCCCTGACAGTGCTAAGGAAGCTGGGAGGTCTGGGGTGGGCACAGCAAAGCAGCTGTGGCCAGACTGCTTCTCTAGATTCCTTCTCACTGGGCAGGGCATCTCTGAAGGAAAGGTAACAGCCCCAGTCAGGGGCCTACAGACAAAATCCCCATCTCCCTGGGACAGAGCACCTGGGGGAAGGGGTGGCTGTGGGCCGCAGCTTCAGCAGATTTAATCGTTCCTGCCTGCTGTCTCTGAAGAGAGCAGCTGATCCTGACAAGAGGGATTCTCCTAGCACAGCACACCAGCTCTGCTAATGGACAGACTGCCTCCTCAGGTGGGTCCTTTACCCCTGTGCCTCCTGACTGGGAGAAATTGCCCAACAGGGGTTGACAGACATCTCATACAAGAGAGCTCCAGGCCAGTGCCCCTCTGGGATGAAGCTTCCAGAGGAAGGAGCAGGGAGCAATCTTTGCTATTCTGCAGTCTCCACTGGTGATACCCAGGCAAACAGGGTCTGGAGTGGACCTCCAACAAACTTCAGCAGACCTGCAGAAGAGGGGCCTGACTTTTAGAAGAAAAACTAACAAACAGAAAGCAACAACATCAACATCAACATAAAGGACCCCCACACAAAAACCCTATCCAAAGGTCATCAGCCTCAAAGATCAAAGGTAGATAAATCCACAAAGATGAGGAAAAACCAGCACAAAAATACTGAAAACTCCAAAAATCAGAATGCCTCTTCTCCAAATGATCACAACTCCTCTCCATTAAGGGCACAAAACTGAATGGAGAATGAGATTGACAAATTGACAGAAGTAGGCTTCAGGAGGTGGATAATAGCAAACTCCTCTGAGCTAAAGGAGCATGTTCTAACCCAATGCAAGGAAGCAAAGAACCTTGAAAGTAGGTTACAGGAACTGGTAACTAGAATAACCAGTTTAGAGAGGAACATAAATTACCTGATGGAACTGGAAAATACAGCCCAAGAACTTTGTGAAGCATACACAAGTATCAATAGCTGAATTGATCAAGTGGACGAAAGCATATCAGAGATTGAAGATCAACTTACTGAAATAAGGTGTGAAGACAAGATTAGAGAAAAAAATAATTAAAAGGAATGAACACACCTCCAAGAAATATGGGACTATATGAAAAGACCAAACCTATGATTGATTCATGTACCTGAAAGTGATGGAGAGAATGGAAACAAGCTGGAAAACACACTTCAGGAAATTATCCAGGAGAACTTCCCCAACCTAGCAAGACAGGCCAACATTCAAATTCAGTAAATACAGAGAACACCACTAAGATACTCCTCGAGAAGAGCAACCCAACGACACATAATCATCAGATTCTCCAAGGTTGAAATGAAGGAAAAAATGTTAAGGACAGCCATAGAAAATAGTCAGGTTACCTACAAAGGGAAGCCCATCAGACTAACAGTGGATCTCTCTGCAGAAATTCTACAAGCCAGAAGAGAGTGGGGGCCAATATTCAACATTCTCAAAGAAAAGAATTTTCAACCCAGAATTTCATATCCAGCCAAACTAAGCTTCATAAAGTGAAGGAGAAATAAAATTCTTTCCAGACAAGCAGATGCTGAGGGCTCTGCTTCCTCACCAGGCCTGCCTTACAAGAGCTCCTGAAGAAAGCACTAAATATGGAAAGGAAAAACTGGTACCAGCCACTGCAAAAACATACCAAAATATAAAGACCAACGACACTATGAAGAAACTGCATCAACTAATGTGCAAATTGAACAGCTAGCATCATGATGACTGGATCAAATTCAAACATAACAATATTAACCTTAAATGTAAATGGGCTAAATGCCCCAATGAAAAGACGCAGATTGGCAAATTGGATAAAGAGTCAAGACCTGTCAGTGTGCTGTATTCAGGAGACCCATCTCACATGCAAAGACACACATAGGCTCAAAATAAAGGGATGGAGGAATATTTACCAAGCAAATGGAAAGCAAAAAAAAAAAAAAAAGCAACGGTTCCAATCCTAGTCTCTGATAAGACAGACTTTAAACCAACAAAGATCAAAAAGGACAAGGCTATTACATAACGGTAAAGGGATCAGTGCAACAAGAAGAGCTAACTATCCTAAATATATATGCACCCAATACAGGAGCACCTAGATTCATAAAACGAGTTCTTAGAGACCTATAAAGAGACTTGGACTCTTACACAATAATTGTGAGAGACTTTAACACCCCACTGTCAATATTAGACAGATCAATGAGACAAAAAATTAACAAGGGTATTCAGGACTTGAACTCAGCTCTAGACCAAGTGAACCTAATAGCCATCTACAGACTACTCCACCCCAAATCAACAGAATATACATTCTTCTCAGTGCCACATAGCACTTATTCTAAAATCAACCACATAATTGAAACTAAAACACTCCTCAGCAAATGCAAATGAACAGAAATCATAACAAACTGTCTCTCAGACCACAGTGCAATCAAATTAGAACTCAGGATTTTAAAACTCACTCAAAACCACACAACTGCATGGAAATTGAACAACCGAACAACCTGCTCCTAAATAAAGAAGTTATTTACCCACGTACCCATCAATGATAGACCGGACAAAGAAAATGTAGCACCATGGAATACTGTGCAGCCATAAAAAGGAATGAGTTCATGTCCTTTGCAGGCACATGGATGAAGCTGGAAGCCATCATTCTCAGCAAACTAACAGAAGAACATAAAACCAAACACCCCATGTTCTGCCTCATAGGTGGGAGTTGAACAATGAGAACACATGGACACAGGGAGGGGAACATCACATACCAGGGCCTGTCAAGGGGTGAGGGGCAAGGAGAGGGAGAGCATTAGGACAAATACCTAATGCATGTGGGGCTTAAAGCCTAGATGACGGGTTGATAGGCACAGCAAGCCACCATGGCACATGTATACCTATGTAACAAACCTGCACGTTCTGCATATGTATCCCAGAACTTAAAATAAAAAATAAAGAATAAAATGAACAGAAAAAGTGTCCCAGAAGATATTGGTCAACAGATATAAAGTCATAGGTTGGAGGAATAGGTTCTGGTGTTCTATTGCCGAACAAGATGGCTATATTTAATAATAACGTATTGTGTGTTTCAAGCTACAAGAATGCGTTTTGAATATTCTCACCACAAAGAAATGGTTAATATTTGAGGTGATAGATATGCTAATTACACTGATTTGATTATTCCACAATGTTTACATGTATCAAAACATCACATCATACCCTTTAAAATATACAATTATTATTTGTCAATTAAAAATATAAAAATTTTAAAAATATTTCCAGAGGACTATGATGGAGTAAACCCATGGACTTTATTTAGTTAGTTATTTTTCTCCATTATTTTAGCAAGTTTCAGACCCTATTATGCAGACACATTTATAAAGGCTGATTTTAGTCTTAGTTCTGCTAAAAGCAATAACAGAATCCCACAGCTCAGGGTTTAGAAATTCCTGACTTAGATACTAAAAACCATGTTTACTTGAATAGTTTCATTGTTCTTTGCCCTTCTTTCTACATATAGAATTGATGCCTAGGTGTGAGCTAGAATTACCCGCTCTTTATATCATTACAAATTTTCTTGTGTTCATCCCCTTATTTCTTAAGGAACAAAAGTGTCTTCAGATAAGATGGAAAATTTCATGAAAAGCATGGGAATTGATCTCAAGGAGAAAGAAATCCAGGCACTGAAGGACCACCTACCAGTTGATGGTGAGAGTTTTGAATATCAGTATGCCCCTTAGTAAACCTTTGAACATGAAACTAGTAGTGGGGCTGGAATAATTGAAGGGGCTAGAATGATTGAAGATAGGATACATATGAAAAGAAATGAAAGAGTAAGACCTTCCCTATAACTACCAAACTGAACCCAATGGCTACCACTTGGGAAGAATCACCAAGAATACTGCCAACATAAATGGCAAGTGTCAACTCACTATGTAACACCACTGGAAATGCCAAGATTTAACAAGAATACACAGGACATTAATCTTTTAGTCCCTAATGGTAATCCAGCGTTAAATAGCAATGACCAACACTGTGTAGTCCTGACACATGCAAGGCACTCTTCTAAGCACTTTCATTTATCAACTTATTTAATCTTGCAAACAACCCTAAAAGGTAGGTTCTGTTTTTATCCCAATTCTACATATAAGGAAACTAAGGCACGAAAAAATCAAGTCACTTGCCCAAAGGCAGAGAGCTAGTAAATGATGGAACCAGGAAAAGAACCTAGGCAATCTGGCTCCAGAAACTGTCTCTTTTTTTTTTTTTTTTTTTTTTTTTGAGACGGAGTCTCGCTCTGCCGCCCAGGCTGGAGTGCAGTGGCCGGATCTCAGCTCACTGCAAGCTCCGCCTCCCGGGTTCACGCCATTCTCCTGCCTCCGCCTCCCGAGTAGCTGGGACTACAGGCGCCCGCCACCTCGCCCGGCTAGTTTTTTGTATTTTTTAGTAGAGACGGGGTTTCACCATGTTAACCAGGATGGTCTCGATCTCCTGACCTCGTGATCCGCCCGTCTCGGCCTCCCAAAGTGCTGGGATTACAGGCTTGAGCCACCGCGCCCGGCCCAGAAACTGTCTCTTAACCACAATGCTATACTTCCATGAGCTAATAGAATTAACGAATTTTAAAAGGTATATAGTAATGTTACAAATGAAATTAATTAAACTTGGCATATTTTAGATGGTCTTATGCTAGTGGAACTGAGAAAAATTCATCAGGAAATTCTGGGGGACTACTGCTCCAGAAAGGAAATCATAAAAATATATGATTAATCCAAGTCAGTGAATACTGTATGTGCTTTTCTAAATCAGTAGTACCTTTCATTCTTCCATTCTATCAGCTTTAAAGACTATGATGCATCAGACACTGTTCTAGGTCCTTGGTACCTTTGCCTTAATAAGTAAGCAGTTTTCAAAACATGACTTTTTCTTTTGTTTTTAAATCCCTTCTATAGCTCTTTCAATCTACCAGTGCAATAAATGTAGATACTTGTGGTTGCCCTGTTGTCCTAGTATCTTGGAACATCACCAGCACAGTGATTTAAAGTGTGAGGCCCTTAATATAATTCCTATAATATAATATAAATGTAGAATAGCTTGTACATCTGTTTAACCATCTGAGATAGGATAGAATATTGTTTCAGAACCTAATGGGCCTCAGTGGAGCTAATTGGAGACATAGAAAGGGAAGAGTGTGGTGGCATGTTATTTACAGGCAAACTTTTATCCAAAAAAAGTTCTTCCTTGTCCTATTTAAAAGTTATAATGGTAACCATATTACTACTAATAATAAGGTATTATAAAACTATAAAATAATACCAGTCTAGACGCAGTGGCTCACCTCTGTAATCCCAGCACTTTGGGAGACTGAGGCAAGAAGATCTCTTGAGACTAGAAGTTCAAAACCAGCCTGGGCAACATAGCAAAACCTCATCTCTAAAAATTATTTCTTTTAATTATCCGGGAACAGCCAGGTGCAGTGGCTCACACCTGTAATCCCAGCACTTTGGGAGGCCAAGGCAGGTGGATCTCGTGAGGCCAGGAGTTCAAGACCAACCTGGGCAACACAGTGAAACCCCGACTCTACTAAAATTACAAAAATTAACTGTGCATGGTGGTACATACCCATAATCCCAGCTACGCAGGAGTCTGAGGCAGGAGAACTGCTTGAACCCAGGAGGTGGAGGTTGCAGTGAGCCAAGATCATGCCACTGCACTCCAGCCTGGGCAACAGAGCGAGACTCTATCTAAAATATATATCCAGGGATGGTGGTATGTGCCTATAGTCCTAGCTACTTGGGAGAGTGAGGCAGGTGGATTGTCCAGCCTAGGTGACAGAATGAGTCCCTGTCTCAAAAAAAGAAAAAAAAAAAAAATACCGGTAAAAGAATGTCATAATTGCTGGGTGTGGTAGCTCACACCTGTAATCCCAGCACTTTGGGAGGCCAAGGTGGGTGGATCATGAGGTCAGGAGTTCGAGACCAACCTGGCCAACATAGTGAAACCCTGTCTCTACTAAAAATGCAAAAAGTTAGCTGGGCATGGTGGCGGGCACCTGTAATCCCAGCTACTCAGGAGGCTGAAGCAGGAGAATCGCTTGAGCTTGGAAGGCAGAGGTTGCAGTGAGCCAAGATCATGCCATTGCACTCCAGCCCGGGGCAACAGTGCGGAAAAAAAAAAAGATTATCATAATTTTGAAAGTATTTTAAAAGAACAAATATAAATTCTGTGTCTAAGAATCTGGAATATAATAATTTTAAAGCTAATTCATTATTTATAATATGTTTGCATTTTGCTAGAACTATAATTTAGTAAATGTTTATGGAGCATCAATCTTGTGCAAACCATTACAGTAATGCCTAGGTGATACTAAGAACGCAAAGTGATTCTTGGTATCTTGTCCCCAGATAAACTTATAGTCTTAGGAATATTACAAATAATACAACAGTGTGAACATATTTGACCAGTGATGAATTGACACCCTTGACCAAGTCATAAGTAGAAAATGAGTGTGTCCTTCAGCAGCTGTAAGGTTCCAAACTGAATCTTGCCTATGAGAGTAATAACATCTCTTAACTACTAGCTTAACCTCCCAATCCAGTGTCTCTCAAACTTGCAATCTTACAAACTGCTTAAAATTTATCCGCTGACTTCCAGTGACTTCAGACTTCAATTTGAGAAATACTGATCAAAGAAACTAAGTACATGGTCTGTGAAAATATATTTTAATTGAGAATGGTCATGGCAAAATAAAAGTTTTGTCATCACAAATGGACTTTAACTGGATATATCAACATGACAACCTAAGAGCAACCAGACATGGATACCAACGATCTAATCTTTTAGTGGATAGCTTAGTGCCAAAGTCATCAAAAGCCTAAAGGTAAAGTCAGCGTTGACAAAAATGGAAATACCATTTTTAAACAAAATTTTTTAATTCTCAAATTTCCAACCCCTGAATAGATTAACTTACTAGATAATAGATTGTCTTGAAGGAAAGAAGAATGCTTTAAGCTTTACTCCTGCATTGTGAAATGTAGATTTTTATTGTTTATAGGATAAATAGTAGTAGCTATATTATTTCAATTCATGAGCATTGGACTTGGAAAAATGAACTTCTAGGGAAATGTTTTGTAATAATTGACTTTTGAGTTTCTATTTCAGAATTTAAGGCCCTTATATCATTTTTCCATAAATCTTTTTGACGCCTTTTTATCTTAAAGATAATGGGAAGACTGATTTGAATACGATGATGGATGAAGTTAAAAATGTTACAGGTGAGTGAGATGTTACAGTAAATACTGCATTGTGTGATCTTAAAGTTTTATATGGAACTATATTTTTAACCCAATAATGTTTCTTCCACTCATTTATTTAACAATTATTTATAGAGTATTTACCACATGCCAGACATTGTTCTAGGCATATAGGCTACATCAGTAAATAGTACGAAGGTCGCTGCCTCCTGGAGCTTAGATTCTAGCGGGGGAAATAAGCAATAAACAATAAACATTAAACATAAGTACATTATATAATATGTTAGAAAGTGTTATATGCTCTGGAAATAAGTGAAAAGTAGATAAAGGAGATTGGGGGAGCAGGGTGTGTTGGGGAAAGAGGCGGGTGTGTTGGGGAAAGAGGCAGGTGTGTTTTTAAACAGATAATCAGGCCTTCTTGAGAAGGTGACATTTGAGCAAAAACTTGAAAGAGGTGAGGGTTTTGACATGTGGCGATTTCTAGACAAAAAGTGTTTCAGACAAAGGGGACAAGGACAAAGGCAGGAGCATGCCTGGTATATTCAAAGAACAACAAGAAGGTCAGTGTAGCTGAAGCTGAGTAACTAAGTAAAAAAGTAATAGGGAGACCGGACATGGTGGCTCACACCTGTAATCCCAGCACTTTGGGAGGCCAAGGCGGGCAGATCACCTGAAGTCAGGAGTTCAAGACCAGCCTGGCCAACATGGTGAAACTCCATCTCTACTAAAAGTGCAAAAATTAGCCGGGCGTAGTGGTGCATGCCTGTAGTCCCAGCTACTCAGGAGCCTGAGGCAGGAAAACCACTTGAACCCAGGAGGCAGAGGTTGCAGTGAGCTGAGATCAGGCCACTGCACTCCAGCTTGGGTGATAAAGCCAGACCCCATCTCAAAAAAAAGTAATAGGGGATGAGAAGAGAAAAGTAATGGGTGCATTACTTATTTTTGAAAACCCTGCAAGGACTTGGGCTTATTTTCTGAGATAAACAGAAAGCTATTGTAGGGTTTAAAACCGAGGTGTAATATGATCTGACCTATGTCAGGGGAGAGGGGAGGGGAGTGGAGGAGAGAGGGTAGGGGAGAGGGAGGGGAAGGGAGGGTAGGAGAGAGGGGAGGGGAGGAGACGGGAGGGGGAGTGGAGATGGGAGGGAAGGGGGGAGGGAGGAGAGGGGAGGGGAGGAGAGGGGAGGGGAGGAAGCAGGGAAACCATTTTGAGGGCCTTTAGAGTAATCAATGTTAGGGATGCTGGTGACATAACCAGAGTAGAAGGCAATGGCTGGATTCTGGACACATTTTTTAAAGAGTCAAAAGAATTTTCTGGAGGATTAGATACAAAGTACTAGATAAAAGGACAAGTCAAGAATGGTTCTAAAATTTTTGTCTTGAACAACTAACTAAAAGGATAGTCTTGCCATTAACTGAGATGAAAAAAAGTTACCAGTAGTACAAGTTTGGGTGGAAGAAAATTAGGAATCCAATTTGGGACATTTTGGGATAACTAATAGACCTCCAAATGCAGATGTCAAGTACAAGCTTACTAAACAGACTCAAATTCAAGAAATATATCTTGGGTAAAAATATAAAATTGAAAGTCATAGGCATATAGATGGTATTTAAAGCCACGAGATTGAATGAATTCACTCAAGGAGTGAGTATAAGTGAAGAAGAGGACTAAAGAATGAAACCTGGAGTACTTCAATATTAAGAGGTGCTAAAGCAAAGAAGATGAAGAGTAGCCAGTGATGTAGGTGGAAAACCAAGATAATAAGGTGCCCTGAAAACCAGATGAGGAAGATTAAATTAAGTTGGGTACCCCCAGAAAACAAACCCTGAAATGAGGATTACATATACAGGTAGTTTGCTTGGGAAGGGAGCTCAGGGGAGCAGAGAAGTGAGACATAGATAAAAGCAGCCAATAAAGTGTTTATCAAACAAGTTACCATTGCAGGTAACTAGAGCTTAATCACACTGGGGAATATCTGGTAAATGACATGGCCTCAAGAGAGGGGTAATAGAGCTAGGTTATTTTCACACCAACTCATATCAGTCATTGGTTAAAAACTGCTTAAGGGGCCGGGTGCGGTGGCTCACACCTATAATCCCAGCACTTTGGGAGGCTGAGGCAGGCAGATCACGAGGTCAGGAGATCGAGACTATCCTGGCTAACACAGTGAAACCCTGTCTCTACTAAAAAAAAAAAATACAAATATATTAGTCGGACGTTGTGGTGGGTGGCTGTAGTCCCAGCTACTCGGGAGGCTGAGGCAGGAGAATGGTGTGAACCTGGGAGGTGGAGCTTGCAGTGAGCCGAGATCGCGCCACTACACTCCAGCCTAGGTGACAGAGCAAGACTCTGTCTCCGAAAAAAAAAAAAAAAAAAAAAATGCTTAAGGGAGGGGAAAGCAGTATTACTCTGCTGGCATTTCTACCCATCTAAGCATAGGCAGTGTGGACTCTGGCAGCTGAAGAAATCCCTCAGACAAAGAGATACTAGTAACTGAAAGTGAAAGTGAACAAGCATGCATTGATATGAGGGGATATGAGCAGGGCATCTATAGCATCTGCTACAGTTACCAGACAAGAAGGCAAATCAATAGTCAAATGCTGCTGATAGGTCAAGTAACATGAGAACCGAGAATTGACAATTGCATATAGCCACACGGAGGTCACTGGTGATATCCAAAAGAGAAACTTCAGGCAGTGAGATGGAAAGAAGCCTAAGTGGAATGAGTCTGAAAGAATGGGAAGATAGGATTTAGAAACTGTATGAATATCTAAGGCGTTTCACTGCAAAAGAGAGCAAAGTGGAATAAGGGGATAAGTAAAGTGGTGAAAATGGTGGTAAGAGAAGGCTTCTTTTTTTGATTAAAGAGATGAAGCAGTAATCAAGTGAAAGAAGAGGAAATCGTGGTTTGAAAAGAGGAAGGAAGGTGTGAAGTAGTCATAAAGAAGAGTAGGAAAATTAAGGAACCAGCAAAGTATAGTATGATTGCTCCAGGGCATTAAAGACCCACTTGAGGTTCACAATCAATGTAAAGTGAGGACAGTCAGCATAGTTTGCTTTAGTTCTAGTTAGCTACATGGCTGCAGGCACAGAGTAGTAGAGACTTGCATTTAACCAGCAATGGGGTTTTGTCAAGTGAGTATATTAAAAGCAAGAACAGAGTAACTTAAAGCCAATCTTCTGCAAGATGTAAATACACTTAAAGCTTTCCTTACTCACTGATGCTTTTACCTTCCTAGTCCTTTGTGGGTTCGTCCTTCTTAGTGATATCAACAAAAGCCAGTCTTTGTCTAAAAGTATGTTTATTTTACATTCATCTTTGAATCATAGTTTGACTGAATCTAGACTTGTAGATTGTCATTCTATCTTAGAACTCTAGAAACTAATGATGCTTTTTGTTGTTGTTGTTGTTGTTGTTGTTGAGATGGAGTCTCACTCTGTCGCCCAGGCTGGAGTGCAGTGGTACCATCTTGGCGCTACAATCTTTCTACATATATTTGAACTTCTATTTATCAAAACAAAAAAAACTCTGTTTCCACCTAATAAGATACAACTATTCTTCATATAAATGAAGATATTCTTTCTCACCCTTTCCACAGAATGAAGAGAAATAAAGTTCCAACAGTCCATCTCAGGGAGATAGTCATACTATCTCTGAGCTGTGTTAATTACTTACAAAATTTAGGTACAGCGCTATCTGAATATTCTGTTACCTAAAGTCTAAATTGTAAAGTTAACCTATGACAAAACTAATATTTTTTTTTTTTCCTGCCTCAGGTTTATTTGTACAAATAGCACAGGAGGACCCCAGCCCCATGCAGATGGCAGCCCAGAGGTGGGGGTGGGGGGTCGCACCAGTCCTTCTGTCCTCAGGTTGGCAGAGATACCTACTCTGTAGCCTTTGTAGTGGCCTGGGCACCTTTGGGAGCCTGAGCTGGAATTGAAGCTGGAGCTGCAGCCTGGGCCTTGGTTTGATCCTTGGCCTTGGCCTTGGCCTTTGGCCGGCACAGCCGGAGCCCCTTGGCAATGCGAGCACGAGCACGCTTCCCAAGCTTGGGGTGGGCAATGTAGGCAAGTCGATCAAGCTTGCGGCTGACACCCTTTGGGATCTTGGGCTTAACTTCCTTGGGCTTTACGAGGGCCTTGACAGCCTCGGCACGTGCACTCATGGCCTTGGCATTGTTGGCCTGCATCTTCTTTAGGCCCTTCTTGTTGTGCTTCTTGGCAAAGCGCATGTTCCTCAGGAACTTGGGGTCCACCCCCTTAAGAGATTCGTATCTTTGTGATCGGGGTTTCTTGATACCATTTCTGTGCCATTTTCGGGACTGGTTGTGTGTGGTGTGGTTCTTGGACTTGGCCATGTCTGCACCTTTAGCCGCGGATCCCCTATTTTTTTTTTTTTGAGATGGAGTCTCGCTCTGTCGCCCAGCCTGGAGTACAGTGGCCGGATCTCAGCTCACTGCAAGCTCCGCTTCCCGGGTTCACACCATTCTCCTGCCTCAGCCTCCCGAGTAGCTGGGACTACAGGCGCCGCCACCACGCCCAGCTAGTTTTTTGTATTTTTTAGTAGAGACAGGGTTTCACTGTGTTAGCCAGGATGGTCTCGATCTCTTGACCTCGTGATCCACCTGTCTCGGCCTCCCAAAGTGCTGGGATTACAGGGTTGAGCCACCGTGCCCGGCCCAAAACTAATATTTAAATTAAAAATGGAAAGAAGGAAAAGAAAATATATACCATGTGCACGTGTGCACACACACATATATACACATATAGACACATATATATACACACACTATATATAATGTATTCATATATTGATTGTTTTCTGGACTCTCTTTGCTGTTAAAATAAGCTGTCTTAATTGGGTGTGTTTGTTTGTTTGTTTGTTTGTTTGTTTTGGAGGAGGACAGAGTCTTGCTGTCTGGAGTACAGTGGTGCAATCTCAGTTGACTACAACCTCCGCCTCTTAGGTTCAAGCAATTCTCCTGCCTCAGCCTCCTGAGTAGCTGGAACTCCATGCACAAGCCACATGCCTGGCTAATTTTTGTATTTTTAGTAGAGATGGGGTTTCACCATGATGGCCAGGCTGGTCTCAAACTTCTGACCTCAAGTGATCCATCCACCTTGGCCTCTGAAAATACTGGGATTACAGGTGTGAGCCACCATACCCAGCCTTAATTATTTATTAATAGCTACTTTTTCTCTTGTAACTTTTAAGATTATCTCTATCTTTGAAGTTTTCATTATAATGTCTCCAAGTATACACTTATTTTCATTTTCATTTTCTGCTCAAGACTTGTGATTCCTGAAACTAAAAGTTCAGGCCTTTCATCAATTCTTGAAAATTTTCAGCCTTTATGTTTCAAATATTACCTCTTTTTTTCTTTTACTTTTAGAAACTCCCATTATGTATATGATGGACCTTCTTATTCTGTCTTTCCTATCTTTTTTCCATATTTTCCACTTTTTATATTGTTCTCCTAATTTTTAGAATTTCTCAAATCTCTCTTCCAGTTCACTAATTCTCTCTACAACTCCCTCTCACACTGTTTATTGAAAATGTCAATAACAATTTATTTCTAGATATTGTTTTATATCTTTTGCACACTAGCCTGTTCTTTTCCTCAATTTCTTATTCTTATGCTTCTATCTATGCCCTTTCTTTCTCTTTAATGGGTTTAATTTATTTATTTATTTGAGTCAGAGTCTTATTGTGTCACCCAGGCTGGAGTGCAGTGGCATGATCTCAGCTCACTGCAGCCTCCACCTCCTGAATTCAAGCGATTCTTGTGCCTTAGCCACCCAAGTAGCTGGGATTACAGGCATGTGCCACCACACTGAAATAATTTTTTTTGTATTTTTAGTACAGACAGGGTTTCACAGTGTTGGCCAGGCTGGTCTCGAACTCCTGGCTTCAAGTGATCCACCTGCCTCAGCCTCCCAACATGCTGGAGATTACAGATGTGAGCCACTGTGCCCAGCCTCTTTAATGGGCTTTAAATATGCAGTATTTCAAATCTGTGTCCCTATCATGTGCCCAAGAATGCTTGGGCCATAAAACAAAGCTGTTGCCAAATCTGGTCAGATAACCCACTAGGGTTATCTTCACATCAAATTGAGTATATATCTCAGCACCATAGGAAAAGTTAATTAAAAAAAAAAAAAGAAAAAAAATTGAGTACATATCGGCTGGGCGCGGTGGCTCACGCCTGTAATCCCAGCACTTTGGGAGGCCGAGGCGGGCGGATCACAAGGTCAGGAGATCGAGATCATGGTGAAACCCCGTCTCTACTAAAAATAGAAAAAAAATTAGCCGGGCGCAGTGGCGGGCGCCTGTAGTCCCAGCTACTGGGGAGGCTGAGGTAGGAGAATGGCGTGAACCCGGGAGGCGGAGCTTGCAGTGAGCCGAGATTGCGCCACTGCACTCCAGCCTGGTCGACAGAGCGAGACTCCGTCTCAAAAAAAAAAAAAAAAAAAAAAAAAATTGAGTACATATCAACCTGACTCTTAAAACCCTCTCTATTTCCTGAAACCAAAAATTTTTCTTTCTTTCCGACAAACTCAGCCATCCATCTACAATTATTTTGTCATTTTTAAATCCATTTTAGATATTTGTAGTAAGTAGGATGTCCTACTCTATTGTTTTGCTGGAAACAGAAGTTGTGTTCATAATTTCTAAGCAGTTTATGATCTCAGTTTCAACTTATTTAACTCAGCAGTTATTTATAATTTTATTTTATTTATAATTTCCAAGTAGAGAGGCTTTATTAAAACTGTTTCTGTGATTGATTTTACATTTTTTCTTCTTTTATTTTTACATTTATTTATTTATTTATTTATTTATTTATTATTATTGAGACGGAGTCTCACTCTGTCACCAGGCTGGACTGCAGAACGATTTCAGCTCACTGCAACCTCCATCTCCCAGGTTCAAGCAATTCTCCTGCCTCAGCCTCCCAAGTAGCTGGGACTATAGGAGCACACCACCACGCCCAGCTAATTTTTGTATTTTTAATACAGACAGAGTTTCACCATGTTGACCAGGATGGTCTCAATCTGTTGACCTCGTGATCCAGCCACCTCAGCCTCCCAAAATGCTGGGATTACAGGTGTGAGCCACCACACCCAGCTGACTTTAAATTATAATTAGAATATGACTAATATACTTTTTGCCTTCGAGTAATTTGTTGAGATTTAAATTTTTGTCTTAGAACATGATCAATTTTAGTAAATGTTGCAATAATATTTGCCAAAAAAGTCATAGTCCTGCTTGTTAATTATGATTTTTTTTTTTGAGACAGAGTCTCCCTCCATCACACAGGCTGGAGTGCAGTGGCCCGATCTCTGCTCACTGCAACCTCTGCCTCCAGGGTTTAAGTGACTCTCTTGCCTCAGCTTCCTGAGTAGCTGGAATTACAGACACATGCCACCACACCCAGCTAATTTTTGTATTTTTATAGAGCCAGGGTTTTACCATGTTGGCCAGGCTGGTCTCAAACTCCTGACCTCAAGTGATCTGCCCACCTCAGCTTCCCAGAGTGCTAGGATTACAGGCATGAGCCACCACACCTGGCCTAATTATGTTTTATATATTGAGCAGTTTCAATGTCAGTTTTACCCCTTCAAAAATTTTGTTTTATTCACATAGTAAACACTCAGTAATGATCAAGTGAATGAACTCTCTGAAGTTTCAATCAGTAATGTATTTTGCTTTGCTGACATTCAAACAATTAATTAACTCATTCTACATTTAGCTGATCATTGGCTATGTGCCAGGCATTATGCTAGATTTTGAGAGAAAGACATGATCCCTGACTTCCCAAGTTTACAATGTAATTATATAAATGTAAATTCACTCAAGGTGAAATATATTACAAGGAGTCAGATTTTATTGTCATTTTTAACTTACCCCATAATTAAGGCAAAAGAACAAGAGGGAAGGGGATAGGGAGGACTAAAAAGAAGAAGAAAGAAGAAAAAGAAAATTAAAAGTAGAGGTGTTCTTGTAGTAGTCAAATTATTTATATTAACCATGAAACAGCTCCCAAATTATTGAAAAATTATACAATTTCTATTTTACTTATGATATGATATTGTTTTATCATTGTAAGAGATTTTATTTTACTTAGGTTAAAAGAAAAATTTCTGACTCCCCTCCTTGACTCTAAATAGCTAAACAAGGCCTGGTACAGTGGTTCCCACCTGTAACCCTAGCACCTTGGGAGGCCAAGCCAGATGGATCACTTGAGGCCAGGAGTTCAAGACTAGCCTGGGTAACACAGGGAGACCCTATCTCTACAAAAAGTACAAAAAATTAGCCCCGCGTGCTGTTGCATGCCTGTAGTCCCAGCTACTCCGAGGGCCTGGGGTGGGAGGATTGCTTAAGCCTAGGAGGTCAAGGCTACAGTGAGCCGTGATCGTGCCACTGCACTCCAGCCAGGATGGCAGAGTGAGACCTTGTCTCAAAATAGTAAATAAATAAATAAATAGCTAAACAAGCTTTTACTGTTCTTTACTCTTCCCCCAGCAGCTGAGGATTAGATATATACACACATACATTATATATAATTATATATACAAACACAGGTACATATATATGATATATAATGTTATATGTAGTTATAATGTTATATGTTAATCATAATTACTTCTATTATATGTTGATTATAATTACATATAATGTTGTATATAATTTGATATAGTTTGGCTGTGTCCCCACCCAAATCTGAACTTGAATTGTGTCTCTCAGAATTCCCACATGTTGTGGGAGGGAACCACGGGGAGTTAATTGAATCATGGGGGTCAGTCTTTCCCATGCTATTCTCATGATAGTGAATAAGTCTCATAAGATCTGATGGGTTTATCAGGGGTTTCTGCTTTTGCTTCTTCCTCATTTTCTCTTGCCGCCACCATGTAAAAAGTGCCTTTCACCTCCCACCATGATTCTGAGGCCTCCCCAGTCATGTGGAACTGTAAGTCCAATTAAACCTCTTTTTCTTCCAGTCTTAGGTATGTCTATCAGCAGCATGAAAATGGACTAATACATAATTATAATGTCATAATATAAAATATGACATAATTCTTATATTCTCACCTATGACTATTTCCCTTCCTCTAAAGGAGAGAAGATTCATGCTGGGGATGTGAAAAATGTTCTGGAAAATATGGGAATAGAGATCACAAATAAGGAGCACAAAAAGCTTCTGAAAACTCTGCCAGTTTCTGGTAAGCATTTACATGTATTCTGCTTCACTGATGTCTAAAAATATATTCATTCAACACTTACTGAAGATCATTGTCTATGTGGCACTATCTAAAACCTGAGAGCGCAGGGACCATGTCTGATTCTCCAAGTCCTTACCCTCTTGAAAACTTCAAAGAGGTTGGTTTTAAGGTTTTGTGTTAGAAATTCTAATATTTGAAACAGTTGTGTCAATTAAAAATGTTTTTTAAAAGGCCCAGTCCTAGCATTTCTAAAAATCCTATTATTATTATATTGGTTTAGGAAACATGAACCTCTTCAGTCAGAAGTCCTATCATAAGACAATTTCTTTTGCCCTAGGAAAAAGATAAGACTTAAGGTATAAACTGAAAAAAAAGTAAGAGCAGAAGGGGTAGAAAAAGTGAAGAAAGAAAAGTTGAAGGTAAATTAGAGAGGGGAAAACAAGAAAAGAAAGGCTATGTGTAGTACAGCACTGTAGGGCACTATTAACAATAGTTTGTATTCTATCCAGTGGATAGGTTCACTACACTGAATTTTGCAAATATCTTTCATTTCATTGAGATTGAATTGTAACAAATTTCTAAATTTTCCCTTCCTGTAAGTATATATTTTAATTTTTATGAATCTCTGAAAGCATTATTAATCATGTTTTATCCTACAGCTGATAAAAAGGTGTTTAAGAAAGAATTATTGGATGGTGTGAAATCCTTCAGAGGTAAGTGAGGAAAAGGATAAGGACAATAATATTTAAGATTGTTCTAATTGGTTTTTTCTAATTACATAAATAAGCAGAAAATTATGCATTTTATTCAACAAATACTCAAGTGTCTACTAGATGCTGGGTATTTGAGAATAATCTGGAATATATATAGTAGCATACAGAAAAAAATGTAATTACCCACAATTTCAAGTAATGTTACCTTTTCTATTATAGATATCTCTAATCTTTTTCCTGTGCATATATGTGTATTATTAAACTCTTACTAGAAATGTTATATGTCCTGCATTTAATCCTAAAATTTTAGTGTAATAATTTCACCATGTTATTTAAAATTTCTTTGTAAACATCATTTTAATAATTATATCATCTAGTTTTATTATAATTTACTTAATCATTGTTCTCTTGTTGAACATTTACTTAGTGTTTTTCTCTTATATGTCTCTGATCTTCATACATAAATCTTGATCCAGCTTTAAAGTCATTTTCTTTGGATATATTCTTCCAGCAGGAATTTGCACCTCCATACATAGTATTACCATCATGCCCTAACCACAGTACATTATTTTTATATTTTTTACTCTTGTTCATTTGATGGATGAAAAACTTGAATTAATTTGATGAAAAAATGAATCTAATTATTGTTCTGATTTTTTTGTTATCAATAAAGTTGAAAATGTTTTTATATTGGTGATATGTAGCTGTGGTCCCAGCTACTCAGGAGGCTGAGGCAGGAGGATCACTTGAGCCCAGGAGTTTGAGGCTGCAGTGAGCCTGGATGGCAAAGCCAGACCCTGTCTCAAAAAACATATTAAAATAAAAACAATTTTTAAATCAGCTTTGTATTTTTGTATTAGTCCATTTTCATGCTGCTGATAAAGACATATCTGAGACTGGGCAATTTAGAAAATAAAGAGGTGTAATGGATTTACAGTTCCATGTGGCTGGGGAGGCCTCACAATCATGGTGGAAGGCAAGGAGGAGCAAGTCACACCTTACATAGGTGGTGGCAGGCAAAGAGAGAGAGCTTGTGCAGGGAAACTCCCCATTATAAAACCATCAGATCTTGTGAGTCTTATTCAGTATCACAAGAGCATGAGAAAGACCTGCCCCCATGATTCAGTTAACCTCCCACCAGGTCCCTCCCACAACACGTGGGAATTCAAGATGAGATTTGAGTGGGGATACAGCCAAACCGTATCAATTGTTTTATATTTAAATCATGGAATTCTCACAAGGATAGTGGTTGTTTTCTCTTTAATGGAAAAGAAAGCTTAATTTGAGAATTTTTTCATTCATCAAACAGACTGGCATAGTGTTGGGAGTGTGGTGGGGGAGGGGCTACACAAAGCAGAAGATAGTTCTTACTTTATTTATTTATTTATTTATTTTTGAGATGGAGTTTCACTCTTGTTGCCCAGGCTGGAATACAATGGCACAATCTCAGCTCACTGCAACCTCCACCTCCTATGTTCAAGCGATTCTCCTGCCTCAGCCTCCCAAGTAGCTGGGATTACAGGCATGTGCCACCACACCCAGCTGATTTTGTATTTTTAGTAGAGATGGGGTTTCTCCATGTTGGTCAGGCTGGTCTTAAACTCCCGACCTCAGGTGATCCGTCCACCTCAGCTTCCCAAAGTGCTGGGATTACAGGTGTGAGCCACCATGCCCGGCCGATAGTTCTTACTTTCAAAGAGTTTATAATCTACTTAGAGAACAAAATATATACGTAAAATCACTCATAGAAAATTTTGATCAGGACCATAAGACAGGGCAAGAAAAAGATTTAAGCTGGGCGTGGTGGCTCACACCTGTAATCCCAGCACTTTGGGAGGCCATGGCGGGTGGATCACGAGGTCAGGAGTTCGAGACCAGCCTGGCCAACAAGGTGAAACCCTGTCTTTACTAAAAATACAAAAATTAGCTGGGCATGGTGGCACACACTTGTAGTCCCAGCTATTCAGGAGACTGAGGCAGGAGAATAGCTTGAACCCAGGAGGCAGAGATTGCAGTGAGCCAAGATCATGCCACTGCACTCCAGCTTGGGTGACAAAGTGAGACTTTGTCTCAAAAAAAAAAAATTTAAAAATTAAAAAAATGTTTAAGAACATACATAAAAAAGGAAAAAATTTTTCAGAAAAAACATGTTTTATATCATTATATCTTTTAATCTATTAGAGTCCAAACATTGTTTCTATTAATATAAATGACCTCTTTATAGATTAAACATTAGCACATTGTCATATCTATTGTAAATATTTTCCCAATTCGTTATCTGCATTTTATTTTATTGTATTTTTACAACAGCTTTATTGAGATATAGTTCATATACCATACAATTAACCTACTTAAAATATATAATTCAGTGGGTTTTAGTATACTAACAGAGTTGTGCAGTATCACCACAATCAGCTTTAGAATATCTCAGCACTGCAGAAAGAAACTGAATACCCATTAGCAGTCACTACTTATACCCCCCAACTCTTGCAGACCTAGGCAACTACAAATCCACTTTTTATCCATTATGTTGTATTTTGATATATGGCCACTTTTCATGTTTATGTGTTTAATTTTATCAGTCATTTCTTCTGTGATTGACTTTTAAGTCCTTTACAAGCTAACCAGTATGTGAAGAATCACATATAGTTTTCTTTGTTTTTCTATTATTTCACTTTTTACATTTAATTATTCAATTTATCTGAAATATATATTGACTCTTTTTAAATCCCCGTATTTCAGAATGATTTGATTAAAACTACACCAATAGTTTTCAGTAATTTTCCCCCATTGACTGGAGTCCTCCTTTATGTACAGTTACACTTGGGAGATAATTTATTATTACTGTAGCAAGTTTCAGATCTTACTTTTTGACAGAATAACATGATTTGGTTGTTATCTCTGTCTAATTCATCAGAAATGCCAAACTCTTTACTTCTCCTCCTCAATATAAACTTCTCCCAGAAGTTTAATTTTGGAAGCATAGTCTGTTCCTGACTCCCACATGACTTGCTGTAAATAGCTTTTCTGCTTTCATTTCTGAGTAGGGGTTGAGAGTGTGTATTTTTCATTTTATGACATCCTTATCTACTTTTTCTTGTTTCTGTGAAGGAGGGCAGGTTAATGTCAATGACCTAACAAGTGTTTTACAAAACACTGGGTTCAGACTCGAAGAAAAAGAAATCAAGGACCTGAAGAGTCACCTGCCAGTGACTGGTGAGCATTTAAGACACCTTTATCCTGTAGATAATGACTAGTCTACTGTGAAAGCAAAGAGTAAGACATATTGGAGAGAGAAAAACTGGGGATAGAGATAAATAATTTAAGAGACTGTTAATAAGGTACAGGTGATAAGGGCCTTACATGGGAACCACACATATGTGCGGAAGACTGATTTGATGTGGTGGGTGAAAGGGAGGGAGCTACCAAAGTGTGAACCAGAAGTTTATCACTTATATGACTGCCAAAAAACAATTTTTAAAAACAGGGAGAAGGATAGCAGGGGAAGCAGAATGAAGAAAAATCTTTGAAATATAGTTGAATTGAGGTATTTATAGGACACTCAGTATCAGACAATTGAAAATGCATTCCCTAATTATTAGTGTTATTCATCTTCAAACAAGGTACATCAAACCATGAGAATCATCACCAGGGTTAAAATAGTGTCTCAGAGTGTCTCTATGAGGACAAGAATACTAAAAGAATGGAAAGATAGAATAAAGGAATATTTGAGAGATAAAGAATGGAATAAAAGAGTAGGATAAGGAAGAAAGAAATAACAGAAAGAGATGAGGGGAGGGTAAGAGAAAATAAAAAGGATAAGAAGAGATGATGAAAAGATACATCCATCAGGATATAGACCAATCTCCTTTTTTGAATTATTTTTATATATACTTTTTTATTATTTCAATAGTTTTGGGGGAACGGGTGGTATTTGGTTACATGGATAAGTTATTTAGTGGCAATTTCTGAGATTTTAGTGCACCCATTACCTGAGCAATGTACACTGCACCCAATGTGTAGCCTTATCCCTCACTCCACTTCTAACCTTCCCATCGAGTCCCCAGAGTCCATTATATCATTCTTATGCCTTTGCATCCTTATAGCTTAGCTCCCACTTATAAATGAGAACATACAATGTTCATTTTTCCATTCCTGAGTTATTTCACTTAGAATAATGGTCTCCAACTCCATCCAAGTTGCTGCAAATGCCATTATTTCATCCTTTTTATGGCAGAGTAGTATTCCATGGTATATATATACCACATTGTCTTTATCCATTCATTGGTTGATCGGCATTTAATGTGGTTCCATATTTTTGCAATTGCAAATTGTGCTGCTATAAACATGCATGTTCATATGTCTTTTTCATATAATAACTTATTTTCCTCTGGGTAGATACCCAGAAGTGGGATTGCTAGATCAAATGGTAGATCTACTTTTAGTTCTTTAAGGAATCTCCATACTGTTTTCCATAATGGTTATACTAGTTTACATTCCCACCAACAGTATAAAAGTGTTCCCTTTTCACCACATCCACACCAACATCTATTATTTTTTGATTTTTAAATTATGGCCATTCTGGTACTGGTACCAAAACAGAGATATAGACTAATGGAACAGAATAGAGCCCTCAGAAATAATACCACACATCTACAACCATCTGATCTTTGACAAACCTGACTAAAACAAGAAATGGGGAAAGGATTCCCTATTTAATAAATGATGCTGGGAAAAAACTGGCTAGCCATATGCAGAAAGCTGAAACTGGATCCCTTCTTTACAACTTATACAAAAATTAATTCAAGATGGATTAAAGACTTAAATGTTAGACCTAAAACCATAAAAACCCTAGAAGAAAACCTAGGCAGTACCATTCAGGACATAGGCATGGGCAAGGGCTTCATGTCTGAAACACCAAAAGCAATGGCAACAAAAGCCAAAATTGAGAAAGGGGATCTAAATAAACTAAAGAGCTTCTGCACAGCAAAAGAAACTACCATGAGAGTGAACAGGCAACCTACAGAATGGGAGAACATTTTTGCAATCTACCCATATGACAAAGGGCTAATATCCAGAACCTACAAAGAACTCAAACAAATTTACAAGAAAAAAAAAACCATCAAAAAGTGGGCGAAGGATATGAACAGACACTTCTCAAAAGAAGACATTTATGCAGCCAACAGATACATGAAAAAATGCTCATCATCACTGGCCATCAGAGAAATGCAAATCAAAACCACAATGAGATACCATCTCATGCCAGTTAGAATGGCAGTCATTAAAAAGTCAGGAAACAACAGGTGCTGGAGAGGATGTGGAGAAATAGGAATACTTTTACAGTGTTGGTGGGACTGTAAACTAGTTCAACCATTGTGGAATACAGTGTGGCAATTCCTCAAGGATCTAGAACTAGAAATACCATTTGACCCATACATCTCATTACTGGGTATATACCCAAAGGATTATAAATCATGCTGCTATAAAGACACATGCACAAGTATGTTTATTGTGGCACTATTCACAATAGCAAAGACTTGGAACCAACCCAAATGTCCATCCATGATAGACTGGATTAAGAAAATGTGGCACATATACACCATGGAATACTATGCTGCCTTAAAAAAGGATGAGTTCTTGTCCTTTGTAGGGACATGGATGCAGCTGGAAACCATCATTCTCAGCAAACTATCACAAGGACAAAAAACCAAACACCGCATATTCTCACTCATAGGTGGGAATTGAACAATGAGAACACTTGGACACAGGAAGGGGTACATCATACACCGGGGCCTATTGTGCAGTGGGGGGATGGGGGAGGGATAGCATTAGGAGATATACCTAATATAAATGATGAGTTAATGGGTACAACACACCAACATGGCACATGTATACATATGTAACAAACCTGCACATTGTCCACATGTACCCTAGAACTTAAAGTAGTATATACATATATGTAAATATGGCCATTCTTGCAGGAGTAAGTTGGTATCACCTTGGGGTTTTGATTTGCATTTCCCTGATCATTAGTGATGTTGAGCATTTTTCATACATTTGTTGGCTGTTTGTGTATCTTCTTTTGAAAATTGTCTATACATGTCCTTTACACACTTGCTGATGGGATTGTTTTTTCTTGCTGATTTGAGTTCCTTGTAGATTCTGGATGTTTGTCCTTTGTTGGATGCATAGTTTGCAAAGATTTTTCTCCCACTCTGTGAGCTGTCTGTTTACTCTGTTGATTATTTCTCTTGCTGTGCAGAAGCTTTTTAATTAAGTCACATCTATTTATCTTTCTTTTCATTGCATTTGTTTTTGGGTTCTTGGCCATAACATCTTTCCCTAAGCCAATGTCTGGAAGAGCTTTTCCGATATCATCTTCTAGAATTTTTATGGATTCGGGTCTTAGATTTAAGTCTTTGATCCATCTTGAGTTGATTTTTGAATAAGGTGAGAGATAAGGGTCCAGTTTCATTCTCCCACGTGTAGCTTGCCAATTTTCACAGCACCATTTGTTGAATAGGGTGTCCTTTCCCCACTTTGTGTTTTTTTTTTTTTTTCGTTTGTTTTGTTCTGTTTGTAGATATGGGGTTTCACTGTGTTGTCCAGGGTCCTGGCCTCAAGTGAGCTACCTGCCTTGGCCTCCCAAAGTGCTGGGATTACAGGCGTGAGCCACCATGCCTGACCTCTTGATGTTTTTGTTTGCTTTGTTGAAGATCTGTTGGCTGTAAGTATTTGGCTTTTTTCTGGGTTCTCCATCCTGTTCCATGCCTATTTTTATACTAGTACCATGCTGTTTTGGTGACTATGGCCTTATAGTATAGTTTGAAATCAGGTAATGTGATTCCTCCAGATTTGTTATTTTTGCTTAGTCTTGCTTCGGCTATGTGGACTCATTTTTGGTTCCATATGAATTTTAGAATTGTTTTTTCTAGTTCTGTGAAGAATGATAGTGGTATTTTGATGGGAATTGTGTTGAATTTGTAGATTGCTTTTGGCAATGTGGTCATTTTCACAATATTGAATATACCCATCCATGAGCATGGGATGTGTTTCCATTTGTTTGTGTTGTCTATGATTTCTTTCAGCAGTGTTTTGTAGTTTTCCTTGTAGAGTTCTTTCACCTCCTTGGTTAGGTATATTCCTAAGCAGGTTTTTTTTGTTTTTTGTTTTTTTTCCAGCTATTGTAAAAGAGGTTGAGTTCTTGATTTGATTCTCACCTTGGTTGCTGTTGGTGTGTAGGAGAGTTACTGATTTATGTGCATTAATTTTGTATCCAGAAACTGCTGAATTATTTTATCAGTTCTAGGAGCTTTCTGGAGGAGTCTTCAGGGTTTTCTAGGTGGACAATCATGTCATCAGCAAACAGCAACAGTTTAACTTCCTCCTCATCAATTTGGATGCCCTTTATTTCTTTCTCTTGTCTGATTGCTCTGGCTAGGACTTCCAGTACTATGTTGAAGAGAAGTGGTGCAAGTGGGCATCCTTATCTTGTTTCAGTTATCAGAGGGAATGCTTTCAACTTTTCCCCATTTAGTATTATGTTGGCGGTGGGTCTGTCATAGATGGCTTTTATTGCATTGAGGTATGGCCCTTGTATGCCAATTTTGCTAAGAGTTTTAACCATAAAGGGATGCTGGATTTTGTCAAATGCTTTTTCTGCATCTATTGAGATGAGGATGTGATTTTTGTTTTTAATTCTGTTTATGTGGTGTACCACATTTACTGACTTGCATATTTTAAACCATTACTGCATCCCTGGTATGAAATTCACTTGATCATGGTGGATTATCTTTTTGATATGTTGTTGGATTCGGTTAGCTAGTATAGTATTTTATTAAATATTTTTGCATCAAGGATACTGGTCTGTAGTTTTCTTTTTTGGTTATGTCTTTTCCTGGTTTTTGTATTAGGGTGATACTGGCTTCATAGAATGATTTAGGGAGGAGTCCCCCTTTCTCTATATTTTGGAATTGTGTCAATAGGATTCGTACTAATTCTTCTTTGAATTTCTGATAGAATTCAACTGTGAATCCATCTGGTCCTGGACTCTGATTTTGTTGGCAATTTTTTATTATCATTTCAATCTTGCTGCTTGTTATTGGTCTGTTTAGAGTTTCTGTTTCTTTCTGGCTTAATCTAAGAGGGTTGTGTATTTCCAGAAATTTATCCATATCCTCTAGATTTTCTAGTTTATTCATATAAAGGTGTTCATA